CTGCTTGCCTCAAAGGGCTATTGTGGCAATCATTTGAAATAACTGATAGAAAAAGCACTTTTAAAATTGATACGATGCAAGTTAAATGCTTCCCTCACCTATCTATATATATGACATCTATGCATATTTATGATGTTGGAGCTGGCCACAACTTAGCATCTGATCTAATCAACTGATTTGACCAGACATGAAACTGATCTCAAAGCTGGGTGGCTGCAGAGCCAGGACTAGAGTTTATGTCTTTGAGTTTCTGTTATAGGGCTCTTTCCCCAAGGGGTCTTCAGGAGCCATCAGGGCTGGGCAAAATCAGTGCCCCTGCTTCTGTGGCAATTCTCCTGTGTATTTTCCTTCCTCCCCCATCCCTACTGAGTTATCTAGGCCACAAGAAACCACTGAAAATTTGGGTGCAGTGAGATCTGGCCTCAGCGAGATGGCCCTGCAGCAGTGTGTGCAACAGCTGTCTGCCAGGGAGCCTTGGCCAGCGCAGGCAGCAGCAGAGGCAGAAGAAAACACCACTGGGGGTACAGTCTGCTGAACACAATTTTTTTTTAAGGGTGGGCAGTGGGAGATGAGAAGCAGCAAAAGACATTCTGGAATTCTGAGACCAAATCACAGGAGGAACAGTGGTACCATGAATAGAAATGAAGGAGTTAAAAAGGAAGAGGCGGTTTTTTGAAGGGACGATGATGACCTCAGTTTGGGGCCAGAAACGGTGAGGGTTGGACCTGGATAGGTCCCAGAGCACATCTGGTGCGACTTCTCCCTTGCCCTGAGGAGGCTGTATTGTCTTTGAGCTGCTAGCAGGAAACTCAGTTTTGCATGTGCAAGAGCTGACTAGAAATCTGCTCTGGCCCTGGGAAAGGTCTGTGGATGTCCATTTGAGACACAGTCATCTCCCAAAAGGAGAAAATGCCGAATGAGTCAAGGGCCCGGAGCATTTGGAGGGGAGGAGGAAGAGGAGGAAGAGGGAGATGAGGAGAAGGGGGAGGAGGAGGAGGGGGAGGAGGAGGGGAGAGGAGGAGGGGGAGGAGGAGGGGGGAGGAGGAGGAGAAGGGGGAGGAGGAGGAGAAGGGGAAGGAGGAGGAGGAGGAGAAGGGGAAGGAGGAGGAGGAGGAGAGGGAGGGGAAACAAATGGAGGAGGCAGGAAGGGGGTGGTCCAGCAGCAAACTGGGAACTGTGTATTGTCAGAGAATCTGAAAGCATGGCATTTCAGGACATCAGCCCGCTGGATGCCTCGAAGAGGTCTGAGAAGGCACAGCTGGATTTGCTGACCTTTGAGAAAGGGTTCCAGAAGGCTTGATGGGAGCAGGCCAAGAGGGCTGCCTTCAGGGTCTGGGGTTTGTGTTTCAAGACTCAATCTATCATGGGCAGATGGAGGGGCCAGACTTATCTCCATGAGCGCCCATGTCTTCATCTGGAAAGACACAGTAACAATACCTACCTTATGCCTTGTCATGAGGATGAAGCTAGGAGGAAGAAGGATAAGAATCACCACCTACTGAATGCTTCCTCAGCCCCGGACAGCATGCAAATGCTTTTGTCCATTATTTGAAAGTCCTTTGCACCCCTAAATTGATAAGCCCATCAGAAGGATGGTTATCTTTACTATTAGAATCAGAGAAGACTGCAATGATCTGAGAAATGGATGGGACAGAAAGTAGACCCAGAGGCCAGGCACAGTGGCTCACGCCAACACTTTGGGAGGCCAAGGTGGGAGGATTCTTTGAGTCCAGAAGTCCAAGACCAGCCTGGTCAACATAGCGAGACCCTGTGTTTACAAAAACTTAAAAAATTAACCAGGCATGATGGTGCGTGCCTGTAGTCCCAGTTACCAGGGAAGCTGAGGTGGGAGGATCGCTTGAGCCTGGGAGGTCGAGGCTGCAGTGAGCTGTGATTGTGCTACTGCAATCACCCTGGGTGACAGAGCAAGACCCTGACTGGAAGGAAAGAAGGAAGGAAGGAAGAAAGGAAGGAAGAAAGGAAGGGAGGGAGGGAGGGAGGGGAAAAAAGAGCCAGAGAGAGCTATTTATTCACAAAATTTGACAATGAATTGACTGCGATAGATAGGGGTGATGGCTTGAGAAGGACACAACTCAGATTTTTTTAACGATTGGTTGATAAAGATGATTTATTATCCAAGGAAAGAAGAGAAGGAAGAGGCCAGGAAAGGTATTCTGCTGGTCCTTTGCCCACCAGGTGCTCCGTGTCAGTGTCACAGTCCCTCTCGTTCCCCTGCTGGCTGCTGGGTGGCTGAAGGATGCCTTTCACTTTCACTCTGCCTCTAATCAGCCAGTGTCTTTGCTCCCATGACCCTGCGAGTCCCCCAGCAGACCTCAGACTCCTTGTGAGGACAAGATGGAAAGCCTCCCTCACCCATTCAGTGGGGATTGGTGGCATGGGCTCCAGCGCACCAGGCCCCGTCTCCCAAAGCACCACCCCCACCCAGCCCAGCCTTTCACCCACTTGGCTGCCTGAAAGAGTCTGGGCTCCAAGCCACCCAGGCCAGTCTCTTTTGTCCCTGATCAAGTACAGTACGATGGTCACAACAAGGTCCTGGCAAGATCCCCAGGAAGCTGCAGTCCTTGGTGCTGCTTGGGGATGGAGGGTGGGAGGATTCTGTGGGGCAGGAGGAAGCCATGGGAACCTCGTTCTGCTCTGAGATCACCCCTTTTCCCAAGCGACTTTGGGGTTGTATGGATACTATGAGGTTTTCTCTGGGCAGACTGTCTCTGGACAGTCTCATCAGTCTCTCCAAGTAGAGAGCGCAAGAAATAAGACAAGAGCAGGATTTCAAGACCAGCTTGGGCAACGTAATGAGACACTGTCTGTACAAAAAATTAAAAAATTAGAGGGCAGGGAGGCACATGGCAGTGTCCGGTGTGGGGTCAGCCCCCTAAAGTTCTATCTTTTTTTTTTTTTGAGACTGAGTCTCGCCCTGTTGCCTAGGCTGGAGGGCAGTGGCGCAATCTCAGCTCACTGCAAGCTCCGCGTCCTGGGTTCCCGCCATTCTCCTGCCTCAGCCTCCTGAGTAGCTGGGACTACAGGCGCCCGCCACAGCGCCCGGCTAATTTTTTTGTATTTTTAGTAGAGGTGGGGTTTCACTGTGTTAGTCAGGATGGTCTCAATCTCCTGACCTTGTGATCCACCCGCCTCGGCCTCCCAAAGTGCTGGAATTACAGGCGTGAGCCACCCTGCCCGGCCTAAAGTTCTCTCTTAATTCAGGCCTCCCCTCCCCTCTCCTTGAGCACTGCCCTCATCTTTGAACTCATTGCTGTTCCCCAGTTTCTCCCTTACATCCCAGTCCAGCCCCAGCCTCTGAAGTTCTCTCTCTACATTATGGATCTGATCATAGCACACCTGCTTTATGGATGTCCAAGCCCCCTCCATGGTCAAGTCCTCCATTCTTACCCCTTACTGAGGCAGCTGGGGCTTTGCCCAATCTGAGCCCCATCTACCGCTGGTCTCACCGGAGCCATTCTTTGAACTTCATTCATTCATTTGTGTCTTCAACACAACGTTTTTATGTGTTTTCAGGACCTACCCTGGCTAGTGTTGTGCTGGGAGCCACTGGGGACCCCAGGCCCTGGCCTGTCCATACTTCTCAGCCACCCTACACAGGCCACCCACACGTGCTGCCTTTTAGGGCCTGAACCTTCAAAGGCTCCTCTCTGAGATATTCCCTGGTTCTGCCTTTCAGATATCACTCCCTGCTTGGAGCTCCACACCCTTTATAAATGTTCATTGAAGTTATCTATATGGTGTGTTAATCCATTTCTGAAAAAATAATTTTCTTGGTTCCATTTCCATCAACCTTTGACAGATATCAAGGCCACTGTACTCTCCAGAGGTCTTGCTTCATTCTCTTATCTGGTACGGAAGGCTTTTGTTTGGGATGTCTGCTTCCATTCAAAGACAGAGAGGCCTTGCTGTCTTTATGTCTGCAGTTTGTGGAGTGAATGAGGGGTGCTCAGGGCTTACACCAGCATGAAATGCGATGGGGGAGGTTGGGGACTGTGTAAATGTGAGGAAAGGGAGCCCATCTGGCCCCCCAGTACAACTCCACCAGCTGGGCAGAGTGATCTCCCCACCACCCCTGCGTCAGTGTGAAGTTTAGATAGGGCCTGTTTGACCATCTCTCTCAATCTCAGCCTCTGTGAGATGTCATAATATGGGTCCTGTTTACCTGTCAGCCTGTGGTGAGAATCTAATGATTAGGGTGTGCTAGCACACAGGCACCTGTAAATCCCATTGAAATCAGGGCCCTGTAACTCCTCTCCTGATTCCCAAGCCTCGTGCACCCCACCTGCTCTGTTCATGCTTACTTCCCACGTGTCCCGTTAGCCCTCCGGATGCAGTCAGGCCCATTTCCCCAGGACACCGTCACTAAGCCGCCTCATCCAGCTGGGGTCTGAGGGGCCTGCCTCTCGCCCCACGCCTAAAAATCCTAAGCCTCCCCCTATCCCTTTGATACGGCGGTCTTTATTTCCTGGAGTCTGTACAACATTACTCCCCAGTGATGCGTCTGCTTCCACGATTCCCAAAGAGACTGAGCTTACTGAGACCAGGGCAAGGACCGCGCCAGTTCCTCGTCGCCCCCTTCCTCTGCCTTCCCCTCCCTTCCCCCTCACCGCAGCCATGACGCCCAGCCCAAGAAAGCAGAGCAGAGGTTCCGCAATTCTTTTCTAAGACTGTCTGATGAGAGGGTTCAAAGCACTCTAACCCAAGGCCGGCTCGTGTCTCTAGGGAGGTTGCAGGAAGGCGCCAGAATGTGGATGGTGCGGACAATGTGGGATACTGGAGTCTCGACTGCCGCGCGCCAAGGAAGGGCGTCACCTAGCCAAGCCGGCCCTGGAGTTGAGTGCCCCGCAGCCCGCCAGTCCGCCCGCCCGGCCGCTTGCTGGCACCCTGGTGGCCGCGCCGGCTTTGTACCGGCATCAGGTGCAAACCCCAGAGCGCCGGGCGTGCGCGCACGCGCCCCGGAGCGCGCAGAGCCCATTCGTCGCTCCCACCCGGATCTCCTCTGGGATCTCCTCCGGCGCCCGGGGCCGGAGCGTGGGGGAGGGAGGAGGTCGGACACGTAGCCTGCCTCGCAGCAGGGCTCTACTCCACGCGGGAGGGCGGGGGAGCCGGGGACCCGCCGCTCCAGCCCGCTGGCCTTCGAAAGATCCTCCTGGGCCAATGGCAGGCGGGGCGACGCGACCCGATTGGTGCAGGCGCTCTGCTGATCGCTGTGGAAACCCGGGCGGCAGAGAACGCGGGAGGATGAGGAACCCGAGGCGGGGGGAGCCGGAGGGGCGGGCAGAGGAGGTGTCGAGGCCCTGAGCTCCCGGGGAGTTTTTACTGGAGGCAAAAGTCCATAGCGGGCGGGCTGAGGGAGGGGCGGAGGAAGGGGACTGCTTTGGGGCACTGGGAAGCCAGGGATCCTCCGCCAGGAAGGCAGGGACACTCCCGAGCACAGACGAGGAGGCTGGGGGAGGGGGCGCGGTGGGAGGAGTAGGAGAAGACAAAAGCCGAAAGCGAAGAGGGCCCGGGCTGCACACACCGGCTGGGAGGCAGCCGTCTGTGCAGCGAGCAGCCGGCGCGGGGAGGCCTCAGTGCACCGGGCGTCACAATAGGCAGGCAGCATGGGGAAGGGGGGTAACCAGGGCGAGGGGGCCGCCGAGCGCGAGGTGCCGATGCCCACCTTCAGCTGGGAGGAGATTCAGAAGCATAACCTGCGCACCGACAGGTGGCTGGTCATTGACCGCAAGGTTTACAACATCACCAAATGGTCCACCCAGCACCCGGGGGGCCAACGGGTCATCGGGCACTACGCTGGAGAAGATGCAACGGTAAGGGTCTGGGGGCGCCCCAGCCACCCTTCTCTGCTGCAGGCGGAGTCAGGAGCCCTGGCTCCCCGGGCGCCAAACAGACCTCCGGCGCTGAATGGAGCTTGGGACGTCCTGTAGGGAAGGAAAGTGCATCTATGGCACTCGTACCCCCGCCCCAATCCTCCTCCTCCTCTGGGCCGACTGGGGTGGAGACCGGATCTGGGACCCCGGGAGGCGGCGCTGCGGTGAAAGTCCCAGCGGTGGAGAACAGGGCAGCATCTACCGCGCGCGCCGGGACCCACGCGTCCTCCCCTTCAGTGGGGTTTGCCCGGAGGCAGGGACTCTCCAAGTGGGGCGCTCGGGCCCGACGGCTCTGGCGCCCCCAGCGTGGAAGATGGCCGCCCCTGCGCGCCGCTGAAAGGAGCGGGAGCGCAGGCAGCCAGGTGTGGGACTCTGCGCTTGTCCAGCACTCTCCATCCAGACTAGGTGGCGAGAAGGAAAGCTCGTCCCCGGCCGGGGATCGCTCCTGCTGGGACTCTTGTCTAAGAAGGCCCTCAGTGGCCGCCTGGGAAAAACCGCCCAATAGCTCAGGTTCCCACGCTCCAGGGATTATCTAGACTCACCCCAAGCTCGAGTCGACCTTCTTGGGGACCGGCGTCGGGGATTGGTGGAAGGAGAACGGGCTGGGGTTTGCAAAGCCCAGGTCGAGTGAGGCCTTGAGCCGGTGGATTTAGCAGCGCTAGACTGGCTTGGCAACAGGTCCATCTGCACTCGAGGTTACTCTCGGGCGTTCAATTCAATGGCTCTCTGTTTTTAAATCCTGCCAAGAACGCCCTTTCCTCATCTTGCACTCCTAAAGGCAGTGGGCCTCTCTGGAGCCAGGGCTGCCCACCTTACCCGCACCAAATGCATGGCTCAGTGATTACCCTGCACCAGCCATCCGCACCGGGGACCCCAGTCTGAAATCCTGGCGTTTATTAAAGGTGCAGCTGGTATCCCATGGATTCCAATGGGCTAGAGGGAAAAGAGTAGAGGCAAGGAGAGAAGAAAGGGCGGCTCTTGGTGGTAGTGAATAGGCTGCAGAGAAAAAAGGTCTGATGGGATAGAGAAATTGGGGAAGGTGTATAGGAGAGAGGCAGAAAGGAGGGATGAACTTGAAGTAGATCATTCCACCTGGAGGTCTAGGATGCGGAACTGTTTGTGGGCTTTTGCTCTCTAAGCTGCGTAGCCCCAACCCTTACCTTCCCCACCTCTTGCATCTCCAGGGGAAGGCCAGACCAGGCCGCCATAATCCAAGCTGGACAGTGGACAGGTGGTGTGGGCCAGCCGGGCCAGGGCTTATCTAAGATTGGGAAGGTCAGCGATATTGAAATTCCCTACAGCTTCCAGCCCCATCCTGTTTTACTTGCTTATGGACATTGCTTAAGCCCAGGGGGTTTGTGATGCTATTTAGAACTTAGGTGGGTATGTTTCACATACCTTCAGCACTATCTCACCTGCACCTTTCCACAACCCAGTGAGGAGGTTGGGTAAAGGTAATTCCTAAGTAAAGGACCTTCTGGATCCTGGCTGGGATCTTTCCACTCTATGTTGCTGGACTTGGGCTGGTCTGTTTCTAATTGTATAGGTAAATTGTAGAAGGTTCCTGCCCTGTCCAGGCCCTCACCAAAAGCTTTCCAGAAGGAAAAGTCAAATACAATGGATTTGGTCTGATTATTCCATATTGTTAAACATATTTTCTTACATGAACGCTCAGTCTGGCAATTGCCTTGACCTTTCTGGTTTAATTACCATATCACATCGATTTATTTCATCCTTGTTCTGGATGTTCTCAGTGCTTACCTGACCTTAACACTGAGTTCCCTCCAAAAATCAGTGCTTACATCTCTCCTAGCAGAGGACTAGGATGCCCTACCCTTCCCTGACCTTTTCTCTGTCTCATAAAAACGTAATAGTCTCTTCATTTCTGGTCCTGCTCCAGCGCTTTCTGTATAACTTACATGGACTATAAACCTGGCATCTTGGATGTTAGTTGCTTTGTTACTCTCATAAGCTGAGAGCCAACCTGGGCTGCAAACAGATCTAGAATTGAAGAAAGATGTCATTACTGGGCTCATTCACTGAGTGTTGTCACTTGACTGAGCCACCTCTCCTCATCTATAAGGTACACCTGTACCTGTTTCAACGAATCTGATTTGTGGCAAAGCACCCCAGCAACTGTAACCACCAGATGAATGCAATGGGGTGTTTTCAGGCAAACGAGAATAAGAACAAGGATTATGAAACAGCTAGAATGGAAAGTATGCAAAGAGGAATTTGGAAGAAAAAATTTAAATCTATGCTAGCTTTATTTGGTGTAGCAACACGTAAAAACAATCCCTGTCCCCAGAGCTTCCTGTCTTCTAAAATAAGACTTTTGGGGCATGAAATACACGAACTGGGGATACAGAATTGAATGATGGTGATGGTGGAGTGAGCAGCTGGGTTCTTTTTGTTTTGTTTTGTTTTGTTTTGTTTAAACTGTCCAGGACCAGGTTGGAAAAAGGCCTTGAGCAGCATAGGGTGGGTGGGGCATGTGGAAAGAGGACCTAAAGAGAGAGGCAGAAACAGGCTACTGAAATCCAGAGACACCTTGTCTAGGCTGTTGAGCAAGTGGCTTTACCCCTTTGGGTGATGGTTTGTTCCCCAGAGCAAGCGGAGTGACAATTTATGGACCAGGCACAGTCCGGGGAGAGACTGATCAGAAGACAGCTTGGATTCCCTGGAACATTCCCAGGCAATGTTCTGAGCCCATCACAGTGCAGTCATTCCTAACACCAGCCTGGAAACAGGTCAGAAGTCAAAGTCATTCTCGGGACAATCTCGGAAGATCAGGGGGACAATTCGGGGCCTCAATAGGGCATTTTCTTTTTTCTGAAGAGGAAAATATCCAGGTAGTCAGGATCCATCTCCCTAGAAGGATGGGGCAACTGTTACGTGGTCCTTCCACAGAAGTTAAACCCTGGCCTTGCCTATAATAATACAAGTTGCTTGATTTTTGCAGCTTACAAAGCACATTCATATATTTCACCTCATTTCATTCTCAGATCAGCCCCGTAGGCACCTCTCATTGCTCTGAGGTATCAAACCTGGCTCAAGTGGCAGTGCTCAGACTTCAAATCAGGATCTGACCTCAAGTCTTCCCAGCTCACCTTCCTTCTCTTCCTGTTTCTACCTCTGATCTCTTCCCTTTGTTGCTGCGGTGCTTCTCTCGTCTTTTCCTTGCTGTGGGCAAAAGGAACCCTCACCCACGCCCTAAGAGTGTGTCTGCTCTTTTCACAGCAGTCCCACCACTGCAGAACTGTTCATCTTCAGCAACAATTCATCAAACATTAATTGAGTGTCTCCGTAGCTCTGAGCTGGGCCCAGACACAAAGATGAATTATCCACAGACAGAGACCTGAAGCTGCGGGATGTGCTCCCCTTGCTCTCTGTCAAGCTGGGGCTTGGATCTGGACCCTCTGCCTCCAGACATCAGCCCCCCATCCTTAACCCTTGTCTCAGCAGCTGCTCCTGCCTGGTCTGCACTGGTGACCTCTTAGAATCAAGGGAAGGCGAGAAGAGACCAGAGGTTTGTTCCACCTTTCAACCTGCTCTTATGTTGTTCTTGTGAAAAGGCAACAGATCTAAAGTGGAACTCTGGCCTCCTTTGGACAAGGCAGGAGGGTTGTAGTATTTAGAGGCAGGGGACCTGGGTTCCAGTCCCAGCCTTATGAATTCCCAGGCCTGGAGGGCAGCTCCATCTCCCCAGCTGAGATCTGGGTGGGAGCCGTCCAATTCCTGTGGTTGCAGCCTCAGCATCCCCAGGAAGCAGTTCTGCCATGGAAGTGGTGAATGGCACCAATTTCTTCATGCCTAGGTTGCCTTTGCATGGGCCTATCTCCTGTACAGCCCTGCCTTTCTGCCCTCAGGGTAGTGCATGGACCCTGTGTTATGGGGGAGGCTCTCACTGCAGGGCTCTTTGGCCACAGAGCACGGCCCTACCAGCCTCTTCTTTTCTTGGAGGGGACATGGCATGGGGCTTCCTGCCCTGCCTGCATCTCTCTGCTGCAGAAAGGAAGTCAACGTCCCTGTCTTGCTCTTCATTTCCACTGGAGAATGCGAGGGTCCCTCCTGTGCATCTCCACACTCTTAGATCACTTGTTCCGTAAAGTTCTGGTCCGCAGGGCTGCCACCTACTGCACTGTATGCCCTGAGCTTGCCCGTCCTGCACTTTCCAAGTCCTGGGCCAAGTGCCCAGTTGTGCAGCATTCGATCAGAGATTAGCCTTGCTCAGCAGAGGACATGAGCACAGCCATAAACAAATCCTGGCACCAGGTGCTCAGTGGATGGCGAGCAACTGTGAGTTGTACCTGGAGTTGGGCAGGGGCAGGGAAAATATCCCTGTGGAGAAGTTGACTGGCATCAAAGCTGGGTGACGGCAGAAGCAGGAACTGGCAAAGAGCGAAGTGTGACATGCACTTCGGAATCTGGGTGTTCTGACATCCCCACCTCACACACCTGCCCTGCCGGGTGTGTGCAGCTCTGCTTTCTTCACTTGTTTGCCAATCCTTTCTCTTCCCCATGTTCCAGGTCCTCTTTCTGGAAAGTCTCTGGCTTCTCTCCTGTTACACAAGGATAGAGCGCGGTTCCAATTCTTGGTCCAAAGACAATGTTTGGGTTGGCCCTCCCTTGCCTTGAATCCTGGTCTGCCTTATACCTGCCAGACATTCCTGTAACCCAGCAGGTGCTAGGAACCTTCTGCCAGCGTGTGAGACACATTTATGCAATGGGAAGTGAGAGACAAAAAATAATCCACTCTCAGGGAGCAGGATGCTCATGTCGAAGGAAGCCTTTGTCTGAACAGCAGATAACACTCAAGGTAGCCACATGTGACTCAAACTCTGCTCAGCTCATCCCCGAGTGTGATAGTGGGCAGGTGGCTCTGCCAACCTACGCCTCATTTTTTATCTCTAAAAAAGGACCTGCCTCACGAAGTTTGGTAAAGATTCGTGGCTGATGTATGCAAGCCACTCCCGGGGCTCTGTGTCTCGCCTGCGTCACCTCAGCAGGTGGCAGCTGTAGCAACCACCAGCGTGGGGATGCCGGAGAAGGCTTTTGGTGTTCCAGAGGCAGAAGCTAAGTTGTGTGAAACGCGGAAGAGGACAAGTGTCTGATCATGACTGCACAGTGGAAAAGTATGATATCAGAGTGTGTTCAGCTGTGGGGTCTTGGGTCCATTCATTCCCTCATGAGCCATCTTATGAGGCCCCGTTCCAGGCAATGGGATTATTGCAGCAAACAAGACAGGTGCAGGCCTTCCCAACTGGGGCTTATGCTCCAGCGGGGGACACAGGCCATAAACAAGTGGGCACGTCACACGGTCTGATGACGAACCTTGATGACTGCTATGAAGATCTAATAGGACATTGACCCAGGGAAGGCCCAGGGCTGGGAGAGCTCTTTTGGATGTGATGTTGGGAAAAGCCTCTTGGAGGTGATATTGAGTCTGAGTCCCGAGTGGAGGCGGCCCTGGTGTGGAAAGGAGCGTGGTATGTTCGAGGGTGGTCCACACCAGGCCTGCTCGGAAAGCTGCCACATTGACCATGGGCAAGGAGCCGATCCAACAGACTGCTTGATTTTCTGAAATGGCAGGAAGCGTGTGGCACCTGAGAAAGGAGTCCTTAAAGGCAGATGGACCTGGATTTGATCCTGGCTCTGCCACTTGGAGCCCAGGACTTTGCTTCCTGCGTCTTCATCTCAAAAGTTGGGGCTTGAGGCCTAAGGGAGTAATATGAACAACACTCCTGGCTCCCTGCCTGGCACATGCCTATTACCTCTGGGCTCAGGGAGGTGAGGCTGCCGGTGAGCCTTCTGGAAATGGCTGGAGCAACCCAGGTCAAGGCAGGGCTCTGTCATCTGTCTGCTCCCTTGGAGCTGGAACCTGGACTGCAGGTCTCGGGTGTTGGGGAGGCAGCAGGAGCAGAGATGAGTCCATTTGTAAGCCACTGAATCTTGCCTTTCAATGAAACAAGAGGAATCCATTAGTTATCAGCCGCTGCAGCTGCTTCTTAGGAAACTGCCTTACCAGGGACTTCCTGTTCATTTCTCAAAGGCTGTGGTGTGATGTGAGGAGGACCAATGAAGGGGCTTTTTCAGGCCCAGCCCTGGGCCCTGACTTTGGCAGCTCCTCCAGGCCTCTCCCAGGTCCTTGCTTATTTTGCAGAGGTGGCTGAGGCTCTGGTGGGGACTGCTCACCCCACCCAGAGCCGGCAAAGCTGGTCACCACTGCAACCCGGGGCTCCTCCCTCCTCGCCACCCAGGGCCTCCTCCCTGCCTGCCCCCTGGGCCTCTTCCCTGCGTCCCCAGGGCCCTGGAACAGCACATCTCTTTTCCGTGAAAATACACTTGACCTGATCCCCTGCTACTATCCCTTGTCTGCTTGGCTAGTGGGTCGTAGGCATTTTTTAAAAAACCATGGGCCCAGTTTTCTCCTGCACGAAGTGTTGCTTTGTCAGTCTGTTCTAGACACAAATAGAACAAAGACCAAGCAAAGGACTTGATGCCAGGAATGTAGTAAAGAGATGATGGGAGACTGGCAGTTACCCTTAGGAGATCCTTACATGTGGGGGTGAAAAGATTTCCAGGAGTGGTTAGCACCTTCTCCACCTCCCCACGACGCTCTTTTTTTTTTTTTTGAGATGGAGTCTATCTCTGTCGGCAGGCTGGAGTGCAATGGCATGATCTTGGCTCACTGCAACCTGCCACCTCCCTGGTTAAAGCAATTCCCCTGCCTCAACCTCCCTAGTAGCTGGGATTACAGGTGTGTGCTACCACGCCCGGCGAATTTTTTTGTTGTTGTTATTTTTAGTAGAGACGGGGTTTCACCATGTTGGCCAGGCTGGTCTCAAACTCCTGGCCTCAGGCAATCTGCCGCCTTGGACTCCCAAAGTGCTAAGATGACCGCACCCAGCCCCCTCTTCTTTTTAATTTTGAAAATTTCCCAACATTCAGAAATGTCGAAAGAGCAAGCAAACACCTGTGTATCCTCAACCAAGATTCACTAGTCTTAACATTTTGCCACCTTCGCGTTTTTCCTCTTTACACATGTGCAGTTTCCTTTTGAAAATATGCTGTGTCATTATGTGATCATATCCGTAAGGTCTTCATCATTTCCTAAGAAAAAAGAAGAGATGCTCTAACATAATCACAGTACCTTTGTCACGTTTAAGAAAATTAATAGTAATTCCTTGATACGATCGAATATCTGGTCCATATTCATTTTTTCTCATTCAACCCCCGAAAACCCTTGTATAACTTATTTTTTCCTTCAAGTGAGAGCCTTTCACATTAAAGAATTGCAGGATGTTGTTTGTTTTTTGAGGCAAGAGTCTCACTCTGTCACCCAGGCTGGAGTGCAGTGGTGCAATCTTGGCTCACTGCAACCTCCGCCTCCTGGTTTTAAGGGATTCTTGTGCCTCAGCCTCCTGAGTAGCTGGGATTACATGCGTGCGCCACCATGCCTGACTAATTTTTGTATTTTTAGTAGAGACGGTATATCACCATTTTGCCCAGGCTGATCTCAAACTCCTAACCTCAGGTGATCCCTGTCTCGGCCTCCCAAAGTGCTGGGATTACAGGCATGAGCCACTGTGCCTGGCCTGTTCGTTTTTTGAGGCAGGGTCTCACTCTCTTGCCCAGACTGGAGTGCAGTGGCACCATCATTACTTATTGTATCTTCCTGCCTCAGCCTCCTGAGTAGCTGAGGTTATTGGTGCAGGTCACCACACCTGGCTAATTTTGTTTATTTTTAGAGAGACGGGTCTTGCTATGTTACTCAGGCTGGTCTTGAACTCCTGGCCTCAAGTGATCCCCCTGCCTCTGCCTCCCAAAGTGCTGGGATTACAGGTGTGAGCCCCTGCGACTGAACAAAAGTTGCAGTTTTTATATCATTTTAGTCTCTTTTAATCTAGACCATGCTTCCATACTTTTTTTTTTTTTTCCACAAACCTGTATTTTTTTTCCCAGCTATATTGATTTTTCTGATTGTTTCTCATGGTGGAGCTTGACTGGTTTGCCAATCCTACCAATGTCTGGAAGCTTGACTTGATGCAGATTAAACAGTGTTCACCACTGGGACATTCTATTGCATCCCCTCAGGCGCGCCTGGTGCCAGCTCATCTCTAATAGAAATGCTAGATTTTTTATGAGATAATTAATGTAATATGCATAATGTGTATAAAAAAAGCTGGAAGGAAAACTGCTAACATATTAGCAATAATGATTACTTTCTGGGTGATATTTATTTTCCTCTTTATTCTGCTGTGCCTTTTCTAACTTGACCAAAACTCAGCACATTTTTACGTTATAATTGGGGAAAAAAAGATTAAAGCGTTTATCATTATAGCAGTGTTAGAGTTCAGAAAGTAATGAAAATAAAGCAAGGCATAATCCAGCTATCTTAACATGTATAATAATAGCCTAGATCATCCCAGGCTTTTTTTCAGGAATGCTTTTTACATAACTCTGTGTTTATTTTTTGTTTACTTTATCTGAGCACATTTCCAATGCCGTGGTAGTATTCGGTCTTGTTCTTTTCATCGATAACCCTGGATATGAAGGTGAGGAACTTACAAGAGGTGGTGGGTGGTGCAGTTTGTGCACCATGCAAGGCACTCATCTCACGCAGTTGAGGCTCAAGTCCTCCCTGAGCCCCATGTCTTCCTGGTGCGCCTTCCTGGAGGGTCACCATTTCCTGACTTGCCCAAAGGCAGCCTGTGCATCTATCCACAAACCCCTGGGGAGTTTAGCATGCCTGTGCCGGCACAGAAGTCCAGGTGGCTATTGCTGTTGGCATTGGGCACTAAGGGTTCTGTCCTGGAAAAATGCTGGAGACAGCATTTGGGGCCAGATCACAGGAGACCCTGTTTGGTGTCTGGGTGCACACATGGAGCTGCTGCTGGTTGAGCACTGTCCTGCTTGGGGCCCGAGAGCAGACAGAGGTCGGGTCTCAGCCTCACCACTGCCCTCTGCTCTCCAGGATGCCTTCCGCGCCTTCCACCCTGACCTGAAATTCGTGGGCAAGTTCTTGAAACCCCTGCTGATTGGTGAGCTGGCCCCAGAAGAGCCTAGCCAGGACCACGGCAAGAACGTGAGTCGGGCTTGCAACCTGGGTGGGGGTAGAGAAGAGGCTGGGGGTGGCTGGGAGTCTGAGAGAGGGTCCCCTCACCCCAGGACTGGTAACTGGGGCTGGGGCAGGCAGGGGTGCTTTTGTCCTGGAGGAGCCACTGTGGATCACCTGTGGTCAGGGAGGGCCTCAGAGCCTCCCTGGGAGCTGGGATTTGACAACAGCTAGTGGCGTCTCCTCTCTTCTAGCCAGTTTCACTTTCATTCTCCTCCATCCCTTTCCAGAAAGGTGCCAGATGACAATCTAGGGGAAAGACAGGACAGAAACACTGAAAAATGTCATTTAATGACAAGAGTGGCTTTGGGGTCTGGGAGCACCTCTTTGAGAAAGAATGGCCATTTCCTGGTCATTTCTTCATCGTCTGCAGGTCAGACACTCCTGGGTGCTGGGTTTCCAGGACAGTGACGTGTGAAAATAGCAACCCCTGAGGTTTCACGGGCTGTTTTGTTCAACAATGAAGTCCCCATGTAAATGGTGGAGCAGTGTATAGAAGGAACTTGGGACAGGAGGCAGGGGCAGGGCAGGACGGGGAGGAGAGTGGTTACAAGGAGAGGAGTGGTACCCACAGGGCATGACCAGGGTGGTCATGGAGGTCCCACCCTGGCCTCAGCGAGCCCTTCCTCCTCTTGTTGCCAGCCTGGGCTGGACCCCTCTGCTTAGCAGAGCCAGGCCAGGACCAGGGTCTCTGCTGGCCTGGACTCTTGGCCAGTCCCCCACTGCCCCCATTGCCTCTGGCTTTCCTGATGAGCTGCAGGCCACCCTGCGGGTCCTCCAGAGGCCAATGCCCCTACTCTCATATTTCCCTCCATGGTATATGAGATCACCTGCCCCGTACCCATGCCAACCCATGCTTGTCCCCTCCTGCCTCCTTCACAAGTCCATCTCCCACTCTCACCCCCCGGCACCTCCTGGCCTGCAGCTTACCCAGCTTTGCTTGTCCTGCCCTGTAGCTCCCTCCTCCATGGCCTTGCTCCTTGGCTCTGTCCATTGCTCTCCCTTTGTGCTGCAGATCCTGCATCACTTAGCACCCAGGCTCCCACCATGTGCCACCAGAACCACCTTTCATAGCACCCTGGTCATGCCCTGTGGGTACCGCTCCTCTCCTAGTATCCACTCTCCTCCCTGTCCAGCCCTGCCCCTGCCTCTTGTCCCAAGTTCCTTCTTTCTCGCAATGCCATTGTGTTCCCAGGGCACTCCTTGATTCCACTTCACCTCCCTGGCTCCATGTGCCTGGGGCTCACAGCCCCCTCCTTCCTGCCTCAGCTCACCCTCCTTCCTACCTCAGCTCGCCCTCCTTCCTGCCTCAGCTCGCCCTCCTTCCTGCCTCAGCTCGCCCTCCTTCCTACCTCAGCTCGCCCTCCTTCCTACCTCAGCTCGCCCTCCTTCCTACCTCAGCTCGCCCTCCTTCCTGCCTCAGCTCGCCCTCCTTCCTGCCTCAGCTCGCCCTCCTTCCTACCTCAGCTCGCCCTCCTTCCTACCTCAGCTCGCCCGCCTTCCTGCCTCAGCTCGCCCTCCTTCCTGCCTCAGCTCGCCCTCCTTCCTGCCTCAGCTCAGCCTCCTGCCTCCTGCCTCAGCTCACCCTCCTGCCTGCCTCAGCTCATCCTCCTGCACTAGTTTGTGTTGCCCCAACTCAACCCCTCAAGACCCAACAGTGCGCACAGAGCAAGTGGTGCTCTGTTGGGTGGTGGAAAATGCAAGTTTTCTTTTTCTTTTTCTTTTCTTTTCTTTTTTTTTTTTTTTTTTGAGACGGAATTTTGCTCTTGTTACCCAGGCTGGAATGCAATGACACGGTCTCAGCTCACCACAACCTCTGCCTCCGGGTTTAAGCCATGCTCCTGCCTCAGCCTCCCAAGTAGCTGGGGTTACAGGCGCCTGTCACCACGCCCGGCTAATTTTTGTATTTTTAGTAGAGATGGGGTTTCACCGTGTTGACCAGGCTGGTCTCAAACTCCTGACCTCAGGTGATCTGCCCGCCTCGGCCACCCAAAGTGCTAGGATTAAACTTTCCTTTTTTAAAAAAGTGTGGTTAACCATTTTAGTCATTTGAAGTGCACAGTTCAGTGGCATTAAATAAGCACATTTACATTGTTATGTAACCATCACCGCCATCAGTTCTCATCTTCTCCAAATTGAAATTCCACATCCATTAAACACTCACTCCTCATTCTCCCACCCCTCAGCCCCTGGCAGGCACCATTCTACTTTCTGTCTCTGAATTTGACCTCTCCAAGGACCTCCTGTATATGGAATCATACAATATTTGTCCTTTGGTGACTGGCCTGTTTCCCTTAGCATGATGTCTTCAAAGTTCACCCACATTGTAGCATGTGTCAGAATTTCCTCCCTTTTCAAGGCTGAGTAATATTCCATTGCATGGATAGACCAGGTGTTGTTGATCCATTCATCCGTCATGAGATCTTTGGGTTGTTTCTACCTTTTTTCCCATGTGAATAGAGCTGCTATGAACACAGGGTGTACAAAATGCAAGCTTTTGAGTCAAAGCCTTTCTCGGTCACTCTTACCTAGCTGTGACAAATATACAGGGCTCAGGGCTGTGTGGGGCATGTGGCAACAGCACCTATTGTAGGGACTCCTGCAGGGTCGAGGCTTGTGGCTTGGCCCCCTCTTGCCACAGCTTCTCTGGGTTGTCCATTGGCTGTTGAAATGGCAGCCCGAGACATATGTTCCCTCCAGAGTGGCTGGTGGCTGACTCCTTTCCCTGTGCTCTTGGTCAACAGTCGAAGATCATTGAGGACTTCCGGGCCCTGAAGAAGACGGCTGAGGACATGAACCTGTTCAAGACCAACCACGTGTTCTTCCTCCTCCTCCTGGCCCACATCATTGCCTTGGAGAGCATCGCGTGGTTCACCGTCTTTTACTTTGGCAATGGCTGGATTCCTACCCTCATCACGGCCTTTGTCCTTGCTACCTCTCAGGTGAGGCGTGACACCCTCACCTCTGCCAGCTAACAGAGGCCTGGTGCCTGTTTGCTGAGGCTGTGACAGCTTGTGTGACCCTGTCTCCCCAGGCCCAAGCTGGATGGCTGCAACACGACTATGGCCACCTGTCTGTCTACAGGAAACCCAAGTGGAACCACCTTGTCCACAAGTTCGTCATTGGCCACTTAAAGGTAAATGTCAGCAGCCCGGGCATCTGTCCTGTTGGACAGCAGTTGAGACAGAGGGACCAGGATTCCTCTCTGCTCAGTGCTCTGAGGCTGCAGGGTGACAAGGCAGGTGTGCCTATGCTGTGGGCTATGGTGACTCTCTATTCTGCTGGCTTCCTGAGCCCCGTCTCTGGATCAGTTCCGACCCATGAAGACACAGTGTACTGCTCACTGTGAAGACAGGTACACCCTTTCTTGTCTGTTGGCTCAGCGGGTTGTATTGTTTGATGTTCCTTAGCTAAGGACTCATCTAACAAATCTGTTTTCGTTTGGGGACAGTAAAGTAGCAGTTTTTTTTTTTGTTTTTTTTTTTTTTGAGACAGAGTCCTGCTTTTGTCACCCAAGCTGGAGTGCGATGGTGTGATCTTGGCTCACTGCAACCTCCACCTCCAGATTCAAGCAATTCTCCTGCCTCAGCCTCCCGAGTAGCTGGGATTACAGGCACCTGCCACCATGACCAACTAATTTTTGTATTTTTAGTAGAGATGGAGTTTTGCCATGTTGGCCAGGCCGGTCTCGAACTCCTGACCTTGTGATCCACCTGCCTTGGTCTCCCAAAGTGCTGGGATCACAGGCGTGAGCCACCGTGCCCAGCCAGTAGCAGTCTCTTTTGATGAGTTGGTATGCTTCCTTTCACTGGGGATATGAGCTCTTTAATACATTGTGCTGGGTCTAGTGGTACACACCTGTAATCCTAGCCACCCGGGAGGCTGAGGCAGGAGAATTGCCTGAGCCCAGGAGTTTGAGACCAGCCTGGGCAACATAGTGAGACCCCCATCTCTTAAAAAAAAAAAAAAAAAAAAAGAAACACATTATGTTCCTCTCTTCCCCTCAGAAGCCAAGAGGTACAAAGCAGCATTTGAAACAGCAACTATCTTTAGTCTGTGTTTTTGGTGCACCCATTCTTTCCTTCCTCATCTGGCATTTATGCTTTTATCTTTATTTTAGCCTTCTGTTATATATGAGTCCTTTATGTTAAGCCACTTCAGATACTCTTTGGAAATAAGCGTGGTACAAAAAGTAAATGTCATCCTATAAGGCCTCAGATAGGGGACACCAAACTATGGAATGATCAACTGGCCCAAAGGACAAAAGCCGTTAGAAGCGCAGGAGTTAAGGAAGTTCCACTCTCACCTCCCCCTAGATGAGGAAGCAGACCACAGAGGCTCAGCACGTTTGTAGAAAGACGAGCTGGAATTGCCAATGGCCTTGTTCTGATCTGATAGGCATTATCTCCTCAGTTTTGAAAATTAGTCTTTGCCGACTTGCTCTCTGAAATAGACCGTCCCCATCCCAACCCAACCCAACAGTACCTGCTTCCTGAGAAAAGTGGGGTCCTAAAGACTCCATCCCTCCACACCCTGGCAAGGGAACAGCTACATGTCGAGTGTAGCTGATCCCCTCTTCCACCCAGACCACAACGGGGCCCTTGGCTTGCCAGCTGCAGATCCCATTGGCGGCCAACCACCCCTGAGCTGGTCACCAGTTTCGCAGCGAGCAGCTTGCCTGGCCCTGAGCCTGCAGTGGCCTGAGAACCTGGTCTCTGTCCAGAATCTCAGGGGCAAAGAGAGAGGGTGCACATAGTGCAGTGCTTTGTTTCATTTTATACTCTTCTCTGTGGGATCAAACCCTCCTCAGTATGGCAAAGTAACATTTAACTCCTGACCCACGTTAGCCCTCACACACTTAACAAAGATGAGCTGTGTCCTGCTTCCAGATTCTGGGCAGGGGCCAGGCAGGGGGGACCGTTCCTATCCAATGGCCCTCGGTCCTTGAGGGGCTCCAGAGCACAGCTCTTGCGTCAGGCGGGAGATGGGGCCAGGAGAGAGGACTGGTCTCTAGGTAGAACGTGGATGACAGCAAATAGGGTCCTTGGGTTTGGGGATGTGGGCTCCACTCATGGCCCGCAGCCCCCACTGGCTATGTCCTTGGTGCTGTGTCACAGAGCCAGGCCAAGGACATGGACATGCGGCTCACTCAGGGGTGCCCCAGAGTAGGGAGGTCAAGCTTGCTCAAAATTGGCTCCAACACTCAGCAGGTGCACAACCATGGAGAAAAATCTTGTAGGTCTGTGTCTCTTCCCATCACTGGGAAAAAGGGAACTGGCTGCAGGGAGGTCCTCCAGGGCCTTGCCAACTCAGATGTCTTATCACAAGCTGGAGAGACCTGTAAGTAGGTTACCAGGGGCTGTGAGAGGCTGGGACCTCTCACAGCCCGGGACCCCCTTCTTCCTGTTAGCTGCACTGCTAGTGGGATTTCATGGGAGTTCTCCACATCCTGACCTTCTGTTTGCCTTCAGCCCGTGTCACGCCCAGCAGACATTTATTCCAGAGTGTGATCTTTTACAAAGATTATTTTGAGGTTAAAACTCTTTCATAGTTCAGCACTGTACTTAGGATAAAATGCAAACTTCGACCAGGCACAGTGGCTCACGCCTATAACCTCAGCGCTTTGGGAGATCAAGGCGGGAGGATCGCTTGAAGCCAGGAGTTTGTGACCAGCCTGGGCCACAGAGCAAGACCCTGTCTGTACTAAAAATAAAAAAATTAGCCAGGGGTGGTGGTGCATGCTTGTAGTCCCAGCTACTGGGGCAGCTGAGGTGGGAGGATGGCTTGAGCCTGGGATTTGAAGGCTGCAGTGAGCTGTGATGGTACCACTGCACTCCAGCGTGGATGACAGAGTGAGATGCTGTCTCTAAATAAACAAATGCAAGCTGAAAGGCCCAGTGCCATCTGGGCGCTGCATCTGTAATGGACATCACTAGCCTTTCTGCAGCCTCATCTCAGGCCACCAGGGCCAGGATTAGAGTAAAGCAAGTAAGACATTCGCCTAGGGTATAAAATCTAACGGGACACCAGACAAATTCAGTTTTCAAGAAAAATGATGTTTTAATGCAACGTGGTTTGGTTTTATTTTTTGAGATGGAGTTTCACTCTTGTCACCCAGGCTGGAGTGCAATGGCGTGATCTCAGCTCACTGAAACCTCCGTCTCCCAGGTTCAAGCGATTCTCCTGCCTCAGCCTCCCAAGTAGCTGGGATTACAGGTGTGTGCCACCACGCCCAGCTAATTTTTTTGTATATTCAGTAGAGACAGGGTTTCCCCATGTTGGCCAGACTGGTCTTGAACTCCTGACCTAAGGTGATCCACCTGCCTCAGCCTCCCAAAGTGCTGAGATTACAGGCATGAGCCACGGTGCCCGGCCTGCAATTTGTTTTTTTTAAAAAACAAAATTAATGCAAAAACAATCCACAATGAACAAAATATCAAAATTTTAAATAAAGATCAGGATGAACTGAGGCAAATGGAAAAGCATGCACCCCTCTATACATGTTCGTGTGTCAATTTTTAACGGATTTTTTTTTTTCCAGAGCATTAAAGTAGTTGAAAAAATATTTAACAATGAAGAAGTTGACGTATTAAAAGTCATAACATTCTAAGTGAAAATGCTTTACCAAAACAGAGTTTATTATACGTTTGCTTCATTTGAATGTAATCAAAAATCAGTTAAGGCTGGGCACGTTGGCTCGGCCGGGTGTGGTGGCTCAAGCCTGTAATCCCAGCACTTTGGGAGGCTGAGGCAGGTAGATCACTTAAGGTCAGGAGTTCGAGACCAGCCTGGCCAACATGGTGAAACCCTGTCTCTACTAAAAATGCAAAAATTAGCCAGGCGAGATGGCGCGCCTGTAATCCCGGGGCTTGGGAGGCTGAGACAGGAGAATCACTTGAACCAGGGAGGTGGAGGTTGCAGTGAACAGAGATTGTGCCACTGCGCTCCAGCCTGGGCAACAGAGTGAGGCTCTATCTCAAAAATTAAAAATAAAATTAAAAAGTATTTAAGCTAATCGCTTGGTTAACGGAAACCATCAAACTCAGCAATTCTTTCCACTGAAAATGAAATGAGGCCAGGCGCGGTGGCCTGTAGTCGCAGCACTTTGGGAGGTCGAGGCAGGCAGATCACAAGGTCAGAAGATCGAGACCATCCTGACTAACACGGTGAAACCCTGTCTCTACTAAAAATACAAAAAATTAGCTGGGTGTGGTGGTGGGCGCCTGTAGTCCCAGCTGCTCGGGAGACTGAGGCAGGAGAATACTTGAACCCGGGAGGTAGAGGTTGCAGTGAGCTGAGACCACACCACTGCACTCTAGGCTGGGTGACAGAGCCAGACTCCATCTCAAAAAAAAAAAAAAAGAAGAAAATGAAATGAGGCAAAAAGTAGACTTTGAAAATATTATCGATGAATTTGCTTCCATTGAAGCCAGGAGTGCATTTTTTTTTTTTTTTTTTTTTTTTTTTTGCCTCAGTCTCTGATATTGCTTCGCCTAGCACTGCTGGTCACAGTTATACCAAGGAGCTTTCCTCTGGCTTCTGGAACATTCCACACTCCCCCTTCCCCTCCCAGGGCCTCCCCTAGGCTCTTCCCTCTGTCAGGAAAGCACCCCTCACTCTGCCTGGCCAACTTCTCCAGCTGCGTGGACACTTAGCTTTCCTGGCTCCAGCTCAGTTTGGATTTGGTGTGATGACGCCAGACCCTCCCTCGCAGCTCCCTGAGGACAAGAGCTTTGTCTCTTGGTTCACCTCCCAGGCAGAGCATAGCAGCTGGCTTAGGGTAGGCAATACCTGCACCACATTCTGGAAACTAGGAGCTGGCCATTGTTCCAGGACAAGGGGGGCTTCCCGGTGCTCGGAAGGAGGGGCTCTTGAAGAACAAGCAGGGCTTCACCTGGCGAAGAAGAATGGAAGAGAAGCCAGGTGCAGTGGCTCATGCCTGTAATCCCAGCACTTTGGGAGGCCGAGGTGGGTGGATCACCTGGGTTCAGGAGTTCGAGACCAGCCTGGCCAACATGGTGAAACTCCATCTCTACTAAAAATACAAAAATTAGCTGGGCATGGTGGCGGGCGCCTGTAATCCCAGCTACTCGGAAGGCTGAGGCGGGAGAATCGCTTGAACCTGGGAGGCGGAGGTTGCAGTGAGGTGAGATGGTACCACTGCACTCCAGCCTGGGAGACAAGAGCGAAACTCCATCTCAAAATAAAAAAAAGAATGGAAGAGAATCACAGCAGAGGAGTAGCATGAACAAAAAATGCTTTCATTACATCTCATCCCGAGTCCAGGGAGAGCTGGGACTGCCCCACCTCACTGGCTCCTTGTCGGCCCGTCTTGCTTTCCTCCATCTATTTGCTCAATAAACATCTCTGGGTTGGTATCCTCCAAACATCAAGCTTGCTCGTTTCGTGCCTTGCTCTTCGGTTTCTTTGTGCCAGAGATTTTTCCATTTGATTCTTCCCAGGAATTTTGTTCCTTTTGACAACAAACACAAATGCGTCATTTGATTCCTCAAGCCTCTAAGCTTTCTTTTTCTTTCTTTCTTTCTTTCTTTTTTTTTTTTTTTTTGAGACGGACTCTTGCTCTGTTGCCCAGGCTAAAGTGCCGTTGGTGCGATCTTGGCTCACTGCAGCCTCTGCCTCCTGGGTTCACAGGATTCTCCTGCCTCAGACTCCTGAGTAGTTGGGATTACAGGTGCCCGCCACCACACCCAGATAATTTTTGTAGTTTTAGTAGAGATGGTTTCTCCATGTTGGCCAGGCTGGTCTGGAACTCCTGACCTTAAGTGATCCACCCACCTCGGCCTCCCAAAGTGAAGACTCTAAGCTTTCACTCTGACTTTTTTTTTTTTTTTTCCTCTCTCTCTCATGGGTTTTGAGGCCTGCCTGTTTCCAGGGGCCTGAGGTCACTGCAAAGGTCGCAGCTGTCCATTGCTGTTCCCACCCATGGCTATTTGTCCATAGACGGTGTTTGTGCCAAAAGCATCTCCCAAGTGAAATGTTTGTTTAGCAGACAGGCATTTTTTGCAGACCCTTAGCCAAAGCATTGATCTGGCAAGAGCTCACCAGAATAGTCGTGATGCTAAAGGGTCAGGAAAGTGTGTTTTCTTTCATCTGTCGCTGGGCAACTGCTGAGGGCCATGCCTCTGAGCTGAGGAGATGGAAATCTGCAGCCTCAAAAGAAATATCCATGTTATGCATCTTGTCTCATGGGATCCTATTTGAGTATTAGAAACAGGAAAGTTCTTTTTGTTCATGTTAGCAGTTTTTTGTTAAGCCCTCCCTCCAGCCTTCCTGGTGTGACATGAATCTCAGCACCCACCCTCAGCATAGCAGCACAACTGCAATCTCCAAATGCTTTATTGAGATACAGTTATCCCGTTCCTCTGTCGCCCAGGCTGGAGTGCAGTGGTGTGATCTCTGCCTCCCCAGTTCAAGTGATTCTCCTGCCTCAGCCTGCCGAGTAGCTGGGATTACAGGCGCCTACAACCACACCCGGCTAATTTTTGTATTTTTAGTAGGGACGGGGTTTCACCATGTTGCCCAGGCTGGTCTTTTTAACTCCTGACCTCAAGTGATCCACCCGCCTCTGCCTCCCAAAGTGCTGGGATTACAGGTGTGAGCTACTGCGCCCAGCCAGTGTTCCCATTTAAAGTGGACAAATCAATGACTTTTAGTATATTCACGGATTTATGCAACCATTGTCATAGTCAATTTTGGAGCGTCTTCACTATGCTCAAAAGAAATCCCAGGTTTCTTAGCCATCACATCCCAACCCCCTCACTCCCTCCCGTACCCCAATCCTAGCCCTACACAACTGCTCAACTTTCTGTCTCTATAGATTTGCCTATTCTGGACATTTCATGTCGGTGGAATCATGCGATATGTGGTCTTTTGTGGCTCCTTCCTTCCCTTAGCATGTTCTCCAGGCTCATCTGTGTTGTAGCAAGTGTCAGTGATTCGTTCTGTTTTATGGCACAGCCAAACAATATTCCATTGTGTGGCTAATCTGCACTTCATTCACCCACTCATCTGTTGATGGACACTTGTGTTGTTTTTGCTCTTCTGGTTCTTTTAAAGAATGCTGCTATGAACCTCCTCTATGAGTTAGTGTGTGGACATGTTTTCATTTATCTTGGATATACACTCAGGAGGGAGATTTCTAGGCCACATAGCAGGGACCAGTTCTCTCTATCCCTGAAACCCCGGCTTCACCTCGCACAGCTCTGGCTCCACACCTGGTGGCGGAGAGGCAGAGACCAGCTCCCACACCTGCTGGAGCGTTCATTATGTGGTCCCACAGCAGCATGCCTCACCCGCCATCATTGTCTTATGATCCAGGAAACTGAAGCCTAGAGAGATAAAGTGACTTCACTCCATCTGGGGCTGGCCCATGCTCTGAGCTTAGTCATGGCAGGGCTGGATTCTGACCTTGTGGGGGCCTGAGGTGCTGTCCCTGAGGGTTGAAGGTGCTGGGAACTGCTCGTAAGCAGGGCCTGTCACAGGTGAGCTTGGTTCTCTGGTGGCCTGCATGGGTCATCCCAACCCCTGTCTCCCCACAGGGTGCCTCTGCCAACTGGTGGAATCATCGCCACTTCCAGCACCACGCCAAGCCTAACATCTTCCACAAGGATCCCGATGTGAACATGCTGCATGTGTTTGTCCTGGGCGAATGGCAGCCCATTGAGGTACAACTAAGGGGATGGTGTTGACATAGGAAGTGTTTGGCCTGGGTGAAGGGCAGCCCACTGGGGTATGACTAAGGGGATGGTGTTGACCTAGGAAGTGTTTGGCCTGGGTGAATGGCAGCCCACTGGGGTATGACTAAGGGGATGGTGTTGACCTAGGAAGTGTTTGGCCTGGGTGAATGGCAGCCCACTGGGGTATGACTAAGGGGATGGTGTTGACCTAGGAAGTGTTTGGCCTGAGCAGGGAGCCGGGAAGGAAGCCTAGAGGGCCAACATTCAGCCAGCCAGGTCTGCATCTCCTGCTACACAGACACCTCTCCTAGGTACCCTGAATTGTTCCGGCTGGAATGTATGTGGAATGGCCTCACCTGTAAATACGGGACTCAGCTCCTCATTAGAATGGTAGATGCCTCCCGCCCGCCCTTAGGCCAGGAAGAGCATTTTCTGTCTTGTTTCTTCCCAGGGTAGAGGGAAATCTTGTTCCAGTTCAGCAGGAAGGCAGGATTTCAGGGGCTCAAGCTTGGTTGCCAACCGACTGGCTCATGTTGAGAAAACCTTATTCAGAGAATCATCATCCTGTACACTGGGAGGAGCCTCAACATGGCTTGGTCCAATCTGCTTCACCAGTGGATGTGAAATTGAAGGTTGGCGAGAGGATGGAACACATTCACGGTCAAGTAATTTATTTGTTTTTTTCTGAGATGGAGTCTTGCTCTGTTGCCCAGAGCGGGAGTGCAATGGCGCAATCTTGGCTCACCGCAACCTCCACCTCCTGGGTTCAAGCAATTCTCCTAAGTAGCCTCCCAAGTAGCTGGGATTACAGACATGCACCACCATGCCGACTAATTTTTACATTTTTAGTAGAGATAGGGTTTCACTATGGCCAGGCTGGTTTCGAACTCCTGACCTCATGATCCGCCTGCCTCAGCTTCCCAAAGTGCTGGTATTACAGGCATGAGCTACCGCACCCCACCGAGAGTCATGTAATTTAGTGGCCAGTCTAGGGTGAGGCCCCAGACCTTATGATTGCTAGGCCATTGCCTTCCATTTACTACATCATCTTATTTTCATATTAATTCATTGTATTACCACAAATATAGAACACACTTGGTATAAACTTTTAAGCAGTATAGAAATATCCAGAATTAAGACATGAGTCTCAGCCTGGGCAACACAGCAAGACCCCGTCTCTAAAAAATCCAGGCATGGTAGCATGTGCCTAGTCTCAGTTATTGGGGAGGCTGAGGTGGGAGGATCCCTTGAGCTGAGCCCAGGAGGTTGAGGCTACAGTGAGCTATGATCACACCACTGCACTCCAGCCTGGGTAACAGAGCAAAGCCCTGTCTCAAAAAAAAAAAAAAAAAGTGAGTCTCTCAAACCTCCTCTTTGCCCCAAATTTTATGCCCTTGAGGGTAACCACTGTTAACAAGATGCTATATAGTCTTCTAGATATTTTTATATATGTATAAACATGCATATATCTGTTTCTTTACAAACAAAAATTTTAGGCCAGCTGTAGTGGCTCACACCTGTAATCCCAGTGCTTTGGGAGGCTGAAGTGGGAGGATTGCTTGAGCCTAGGAGTTCAAGACCAGCCTGGGCCACAAAGTGAGACCCCATCTCTGCAAAAAATACAAAAGATTAGCCAGGTGTAGTGTTGTGCGTCTGTGGTCCCACGTGCAGGGGAGGCTGAGGTGGGGGAATCACTTGAGCCTGGGAGCTCACGGCTGCAATGAGCTATGATTGTACCACGGCACTCTAGCGGGGACAGAAGAGCAAGATTCTGTCTCAAAAACAAAAAAAGAAAAAAGAAAAAAGTTCTACCGTGTGTCCTGCAACTTGCCACCTCTGTGAATGTGGACGCCCTTCCCCACCAGTTCATGTAGCCAGGTCTCATCTCCCTCTAGCCATATAGTATTCTGTTGTATTTCTGAACCATAACAGGACCTATATTATTTTATAAGGCAGAAAAACTGAGTGTTAGTCATTCATAATTTCTTTCTTTTTTTTTCTTTCTTTTTTTCTTTTATTTATTTATTTATTTTTTTTGAGACAGAGTCTCACTGTCTTGCCCAGGCTGGAGTGCAGTGGCGCGATCTTGGCTCACTGCAACCTCCGCCTCCCAGGTTCAAGTGATTCTCCTGCCTCAGCCTCCTGAGTAGCTGGGATTACAGGTGCACACCACCACGCCTGGCTAATTTTCTCATTTTTAGTAGAGACGGGGTTTCACCATGCTGGCCAGGCTGGTCTTGAACTCCTGACCTCGTGATCCACCTGCCTCAGACTCCCAAAGTGCTGGGATTACGGGTGTGAGCCATCGTGCTCGGCCCATAATTTCTTTTGAAGTAAAGCCCCAACAATGCATCCCACAAAAAATGTTCTTATTTAATACATTCTTTTTTTTAATGTACAGCCTCTATCTCAGGGCCTAATTTACAAGAAAAAAAATAAATATATTCGCTGCTTTTTGGAAATACATTAATAATGAAAATGAAAGTTTAGAAGATCCTTGTGGCTTTTATGCAGATCTCAGGAGCCACAAAGCCATGCATAGAGTAGGGTTCCATCAGCATTTGCCAAGCGAGGCCAATTTTCTCTCACTAAGGAGTGGCGCCCTGAGTGAAGTAGTATTCCCGACAGCGTTGGCGCCTAAGGCTTGGAACGAGGTGAAGAGACAGCCTGGTTCCCCAGTTCTGGTTTGTATGCCCTCTTCTTATTTCATGTCCACCCGTGAGGCGATCTGAGCAGTAACATGGATTTTTCTGTAACGTGGCCAATTCGCAGGAAATTAGCCACAGTTCTGTACTTTGGAAGCCTCTCTAAGCTGCCAGGGATTCTATTTTCTGCCAAAGTACAGGCTATTGTTATTCTTCTAGGAAACCGTTTGCCAGCTTTAATTAGAGGTGTCTAGATAACGGAACTGGTGAACTTGAGGTCTTCTGATAAGTGGGGACAAAGGCTTCGCCGTATCGGGGAGGCTTTGTGGTGTAGAGTTGTTGGCTGTCCTGACAGATGTTCTCTGTGTCTCTAACAAAGGAAGTCTAGTCCCGCCAGCTGCACTGGCAAGAAGGCGTCTTTCTTGTGTGTGGTGGCCAGAGAAGCCTCTGCTTTCCCAACATCTTCTCACCCCTGACACTTCTGGAATGCTGGCTCTGGGGCAGGAGATGGGGGTGGGAGGCTGTGAGGATCTGGTTGGCCAATTACCAGTGGCATTTGGAAGTCCCCAGCCAGTGCCGCAGTGTTCTGGAAATCCCCTCTCTCACTCATAGGGAAAGGACTGGTGCTTCCCGGGTTCCTGGTTTTTGGCCTGTGCTGGGTCTCAGAGGACCCGGCTGCCCTGGAGGGAACTCTGGTCTCTTGACCGAAGTGACGGTGGGTCTGATGGGACTTGTCACATGCCAGTCCCACACACCACAGCAGGGCCAGGTGGGGCGGCCAGGCCTCAGGGTCTCAAGCCGCTATCCCAGTCTCCAGAGCAAGGACGCCGGCCAGAGCTCCTGTCTCTGGGGACAGATGAGCAAAGCAGCCCAGCCAGGCGGCTCCAGCACGTGGAACTGTGAATAGCATGTGCTCGGCAGTAGAGCCCTTTCCCTCGTTTTCTACCTTTTGGTCTTATTGATGCTGTCCAGGAGGACTCTTTTTGTCATATGCAGCAAAGTATATTCACTTCCCCCAGAGATTCATTTCTTGTGTGCTTAGAAAGTTCTTCATACATACGATTTTCAGTTCTTTAAGGTTTCATGTTTCAATCTTTAACTTCTGCCAAACGGGATATGGGTAGGATGATGTTCGGCCTTCACTCTTCTCCAGAGTCGGCCAGTTTTCCCGGCACCCCCATGAGGTGGCATTGCTTCTCCATTTGAGGCAGTGAGTGCTCCTGAGCCCGGGCTTGGCCTGGGCTGGGCTGTCTGTCCTCTCCCAGGCCACCGTCTGGATGACTTGGGAGCCACACTCACTCATTCATCCTTGGCACTTAACTCATTGGAAGTTCATAGTGGGGTGCCTTTCCCCTTCTCTTTCTCTCTCTCTCTCTTTTTTTTTCTTTTCTTTTCTTTTCTTTTCTTTTTTTTTTTTTTTTTTTTTGAGACAAGGTCTTGCTCTGTCACCTCAGCTAGAGCGTAGTAGTGCAATCTTGGTTCACTGCAGCCTCAACCTCCTGGGCTCAAGCCATCCTTCCGCCTCAGCCTCCCGAGTAGCTGGGACTACAGGTGCGTGCCACCATGCCTGGATAATTCTTGTATGTTTAGTAGAGATGGGGTTTCACCATGTTGGCCAGGCTGGTCTTGAACTCCTGACCTCCAGTGATCTGCCTGCCTCAGCCTCCCAAAGTGCTGGGATTACCAGCATGAGCCACTGTGCCTGGCCAAGGTCTATATTTCTTTATATGTCTCATGGATGTTTCTTTTAAAACACAATCCTTATCCGTTTTGTATTTTGTCCTCATGATTGGGGGTTCTCTGGTACTCAGGAAAGCAGTGGATATTGCGGTAGTTATCTTCATTTTCTTTTTTTTTCTAAATTTTAATTTGCATGGCCTTCCCATGAATGGGATAGTTATCTTTTGTCCCACCAGTGTCCACTTATATCTCTTCACAATTCTAGTTGTGTTTCAGTTGATTCTTTTGAGTTTCCTGGGTAGATGATCATATCCTTGAAAATAATGAAAACGTAGTCTCTTGGCCGGGCGCGGTGGCTCATGTCTGTAATCCCAGCACTTTGGGAGGCCGAGACAGGCAGATCACGAGATCAGGAGATCAAGACCATCCTGGCTAACACGGTGAAACCCCATCTCTACTAAAAATACAAAAACTTAGCTGGGCGTGGTGGCACAGACCTGTAGTCCCAGCTACTCTGGAGGCTGAGGCAAGAGAATCACTTGAACCTGGGAGGCAGAGGTTGCAGTGAGCTGAGATCGCACCGCTGCACTCCAGCCTGGGCGACAGAGCGAGACTCCGTCTCAAAACAACAATGACAACAACAACAACAACAACAAAAACAACATAAAAACAAACCAAAAAAACACATAGTCACGCTAGATTACCTGCCTGCTTGCCTGCCTGCCTCTTTCTTTCTTTCTTTCTTTCTTTCTTTCTTTCTTTCTTTCTTTCTTTCTTTCTTTCTTTCTTTCTTTCTCTCTTTCTTTCTTTCTCTCTTTCTTTCTTTCCTTCCTTCCTTCTCTTTCTTTCTTTTCTTTTTTCTTTTTCTTTCTCCTTCCTTCCTTCCTTTCTCTTTCTTTCTTTTTCTTTTCTTTCTCCTTCTTCCTTCCTTTCTTTCTTTCTCTTTCTTTCTTTCTTTTTCTTTTTCTTTTTTTTTGAGACTGAGTCTGGCTCTGTCGCCTAGGCTGGAGTGCAGTGGCCGGATCTCAGCTCACTGCAAGCTCCGCCTCCCGGGTTTACGCCATTCTCCTGCCTCAGCCTCCCGAGGAGCTGGGACCACAGGCGCCCGCCACTTCGCCCGGCTAGTTTTTTGTATTTTTTAGTAGAGATGGGGTTTCACCGTGTTAGCCAGGATAGTCTCGATCTCCTGACCTCGTGATCCGCCCGTCTCAGCCTCCCAAAGTGCTGGGATTACAGGCTTGAGCCACCGCGCCCAGCCTCTTTTTCTTTTTCTTTTTCTTTCTCCTTCCTTCCCTCCTTCCCTCCCTCCCTCCTTCCTTCCTTCTAATCTGGATGTTAGTGTAGTCTCTTTCTTTTTCTTTTTCTTTCTCCTTCCTTCCCTCCTTCCCTCCTTCCCTCCCTCCTTCCTTCCTTCTAATCTGGATGTTAGTGTAGTCTCTTTCTTTCTTTTTCTTTTTCTTTCTCCTTCCTTCCTTCCTTCCCTCCTTCCCTCCCTCCCTCCCTCCTTCCTTCCTTCTAATCTGGATGTTAGTGTAGTCTCTTTCTTTCTTTTTCTTTTTCTTTCTCCTTCCTTCCTTCCTTTCTCTTTCTTTCTTTTTCTTTTTCTTTCTCCTTCTTCCTTCCTTTCTTTCTCTTTCTTTCTTTCTTTTTCTTTTTCTTTTTCTTTCTCCTTCCTTCCCTCCTTCCCTCCCTCCCTCCTTCCTTCCTTCTAATCTGGATGTTAGTGTAGTCTCTTTCTTTCTTTTTCTTTTTCTTTCTCCTTCCTTCCCTCCTTCCCTCCCTCCCTCCTTCCTTCCTTCTAATCTGGATGTTAGTGTAGTCTCTTTCTTTTAATAGCTCCATTCTGTTGTCTGCTTTGGGTTTTATTGCATTGACGGGAAATTTCAGAGCTGAGTTTAATAGTGGTGATATTGGCAGCAGTCTTGTTTTGTTCTTCTTTTGCCATATCCTTGTTTTCTGAGGGGGTTGGTGAGGCCATTATCCCGGTAGCAGTGTAAATGGGCCTCAGAAGCCATGCCATGCCTGAGATCCTCCTCCTCCTCCTCCCATCCGGGAAACCACCTCTGCTGCCCTGCCGGTCTGAAGCTAACCTCCTGGGCTTCCTGCTTCAGGCAGACCTTCATGAACAGGCCTAAGCCACCCATCCCACCTTGGGAGACACAGGCCGCCCTCTCAGGGACCTTGGACTGGGACCTTGCCATTCTGCTCCTGCTGGGGAGGTCGTGCTGCCCGTTTCTCTCTGTGTGTGAGTTAGCAGGTTCCCAGAGTCAAGAGACTGGGCTTTGCGACAGCTCCCCTCCCCCAACCCTCCACGGACAAGGAGGGCCCTTGTCATTCCTCAGACATTTTGTTCCAAAGCTGAAAGGTCCTCTCCACATGGCCCGGCATCCTCCAGGCCCTCATCCAAGCCTGGCCTTGTGGTGCGCAGAGAGACCCAGGACAGGAGAGTCAGCCCCACTGCCAGGGTTGGCTGCACTCCCTCCCTCGCCCCTGGCCTGAGTCCCCGCCTATCAGCCGCAGCCTGGGAAGGCGCCGTCCCTGGTCAGGGGGAGGTCCATGTGTGCCACCCATACCCTTGGCCGCAGCCCAGCCAAGTGAAAGTCGTGTGTCTTCCTTGCCTCTTGGGCTTTCTCTGTGTGTGTGACGGGGACTCCTCGGGAAGAGGAGATGTGTGGGGTTCTCCACTCCCCACACTTGGGGCTCTGAGCCCCCAGTCGGGAAGAAGCCTGACTCTTGTTGAGTGAGTCTGTGGGCTGGACAGCGCGATGGGCAGTGTGCGTGCCCAACATCACTTAGTCCTTGCTTAACCCGTGAGGCAGGAGCTGTCATCGACCCCTTCATGGATGGAACAACTAAGGCCTAGAGACATGAAGTGACTTGTTCAAGGTAACAGCTAGGAAAAGGCAACACCACTGTCCAAACCCAAACCGTCTGGCTGCACACCACAGCTTCGGAGTCCCGGGGACCCTTGCAAAATACGTTTGTTGGGTAGCCCCAGCTTTCTGATCAATTAAACAGCCAGGCACTCACCCCCCCCCCCCAGCTTGGTGCATTCTAAAATACCTCTCCCTCCTTTCCCTGCTCCCATGACTTAAATGGCAAAGCTCTGGCAAAGAACCGAGCGTGGGAAAGATGAGAGCAGAGAGTTAGCCACAGGGCAGGGCTTGGTATCCCAAGCCCACAGTTGTACTTTCTGGTTTGGGAGGGGAGTACTGGCCATCCCCCAGCAGACCCGCTGCAGCTGAGGCCATCGAGATGGGGACAGATGTGTAGTGGTATGTCACCATACACACGCACATACACGCGCATGACTACGATAAGCATTTCGCTCACTGTCCCACAGAGGCCCACTCTGAGGCCTGCTGCTGCCTGGCAAGCAGGGCCCCCTGGCTCCCGAGGGTCATTCTGGGGCATTAAAGGGGTGCACACTAGAGCCAGCAGTGCTTACCAGCGGAGGCAGCCCCTGTAACCTCTGTTGTCCACCCAAAGGCCACCATCACCCATGAGAACAGGGTGCCTACTGTGCACATGCAGCTCCAAACAGACTCCCCAGGTGCCTCCCAGGCCCCCACAGCAGCGTGGCCAGCCCTCAGTCCCTCCATAGGATGCCCTGGCCCCTGCTGACCTGCCTGGGTTGCCCTCTGTGCCCTACTTCCGAGTACAGCCGGCCCAGCCCAAGAGGGACGGGACGCTGTGTGGGACAGAGATGCGGTGGGGAGGAGCTCTTGGCCAGAGCTGGAGACACTGCACGCTAAGGCTGGGGCTGTGAGCCTGCTCCCTCTCCTCGGGGAGAAGCTTAGAGCAGGACCCAGAGGCCTGTTCTGTGAGCCACTGCAGGCCTCCGAGACTGGCCACCTCGAGGGCATGGTCTGCAGTGCTGGCTTCTCCAGCGCCTCCATCGACCGGAGACTCATGAAAGGCTCCTGTGAGGCCTCCTGGCTCGGACCTCCCCATGGCCGGCCTCAGCCCTGGCCTTAATGATAGTCTTCCTACAAGTGGCCGTCCCTTCTGGGAATGGGTGAGATCCTTGCCAAGGCCCAGGAGGCCACACAGAACAAAGGGACTGTTTCTGGGGGTTCTTCGGCTGGGCGTGCTGTGTCCACGGCCATTGGTGCCAAGATGCAAGTGTTGGGGACAGAGTGGACCTGGTTCCCACCCACAGCCTCCTCCCTCAGGAGTCTGTGCTCTCCCTGTGATTTGGACAATCACTTCCCTCTGTGTTCTCACCTGGATGACAGGGGCGCTGGCCTAGGCGCCATCCAAGGTTCCTTCCCTCTGTAACTCACTTGGACCTCCTGACTGCAATAAGTAGGACTGGACACTGTTGGAGGAGGCAACTGTGGCCTTTGGATCCAGGCATATAGGGAGCACTTAGCACCTGTGCCCATGTTCTCATTGGCTCCTCTTACCGACCACTGATTCGAATGCCAGACAGGGCTCAGCAAGGCTAAGCGACTCACGCAGTCTCAGCACTGGTGAGAGGCAGAGTCGGCTCGAGCGCATCTTCTGGCTCCAAGCCCAGCCTCCCCACACTGCAAGCAAGAGGAGCAGGTGCCACTCAGTGAGCAGTATCTTTTGGTCTCAGTCCTGAAAGAGCAGGGTGGGCTGGTCCCTAGGGGCTGGACCATGGAATTAAGGGCTCCAGGTCCCCTGGAACCGTGGTTCCTATGCCTGGCTCACACTGAGTGGCCTGAGCAGCTTTGGACAGTGACGATACCCGGGACCCAGCCCAGCCCTCCTCCATCAGCGCCTCTGGGCATCAGGCTGCCCAAAGTGCAGGCTATGATGGGGAAGAAACAGGTGCCTTCATGGGGACCTCAGGTAGCCAGATGTGGCCTAGGAGTGTGTGCCATGGCCTCCTCTGTTCTGTCCTCAAGGTTAGGCTCCAGCTGGGGAGGAGTGATTCACTCTTGTAAATTACACGGAGGCTCCAAGGAGGAAGATGCTCCCAGCCTGATGACTGGCAGCAATTCTGGGGCCCTTACCTAGGTTCTCCCTGCCACAGTGGGCTCCAGGAGCTCTCCATGGTGACCTAGCAGCTCCCCTGGGTGCTTATGCCCCGCCGAGAGTTGCTCTGTTGCCTATTCATTCAACAAACATTTATTTTGTGCCTGTCACATGGGCTCAGAGTCAGTTTTTTGGGTTCTGATCCCAGCCAGGGCCACTTCCCATGGCCTTGGGACATGGCTTAAGGCTGAGCCTCAGCCTCAGAAGCGCCGGCCTTGCAGAGGATTGATGCCATTGGGCCAGCACTCAGCTAGGGCTGAGGAAGCGTTGGTCACTGCTGGCTGCAGAATGGGGAGCCCAGAGGGCTGGAGGGGCCCCAGGCTTGGTGGGCCCAGGGTGCAGATTGACAGGAAAGGGACAGTGGTATGCCCTGAGTAGAGAGAAGGGATGGTGGCTGCAGGGCGGGTCGAGGAGCATGGGAGGCTGGGAGCTGAGGCTGCTGGGCACTCATGATCTCTCCTCTCTCCTCAGTACGGCAAGAAGAAGCTGAAATACCTACCCTACAATCACCAGCACGAATACTTCTTCCTGAGTGAGTGCTCAGCACCCTGAAACCACTCCTGGTCCCTCCCCTCCCCCCAGAGTGGCGTCTCTCTCCCTCCTACCTGACATCTTTTCCAGGTCCAGAAAGTGACACTAAACTTGTTAGAAGCAGGGGCCACAGCAGCCATCCCCTGCAGACCCCCTCAGCCCATGTTACAGGCCAGGTGGGGACACAGGCTCAGAGAGTACCAGAGGTGACACACATCCTCGAGGGCTCCCAGCCTTCTCTGCAGGCCCCGGGGTCCCTGGCTGCTTCTGCTCACGTCTGCAGGGCTGGCCCCTGTGATCAGTGCTGGGCCCGGGTCCCCCCGACCTTCCGGCACAGGCGGGGTGAACGGATGCCTCTAAGTGCCTGTCTCTCTCTTGCAGTTGGGCCGCCGCTGCTCATCCCCATGTATTTCCAGTACCAGATCATCATGACCATGATCGTGCACAAGAACTGGGTGGTGAGTCAGGGACACAGCTGGCTTGGCATGGGGAGGAGGGTGACTGGGACAGGTAGACCTGGGGACCCTACGCTGCCTCCTCGTGTGCCTCAGTGGAGCCTGCAGGGCCCTATGCATCTCCTCCCTGGGGTAGCTGCCTCTCAGGAAAGGATTCCCCCTAAGGCCACCAGGACCCAGTCCTAAAGATCTCTACTCTCCCTCAGACACAGGGAGTCCACTGGGGCAGCCCCTGCTTTTGTAGAGCCCCCCAGAAAGTTCTCAAAGGCAGCATGATGAGAGGCAAGTGTAGCCATCTTCCTTCCCCACTCCCTGCGGGCCCTGAGGCCCACGAACGGGGTCGCCCCACAGCCTGGTCAGAAATCGGAGCAGCTGGGCGTTGGCCGAGAGGAGAGGTGTGTTTGTTTGCCAAGACTGTATGACAAAGCACCACGAACTGAGTGGCATAAGCAGCAGCGATGTGTTTTCTCCCAGTTCCGGAGACGGGAAGTCCAAAACCGAGGTGTTAGCAGGGTGGATTCCTTAGGGCTCTGGAAGGCTCTGTTCTGGGCTTCTCCTTGGCTGGTTGATGGTTTTCGCCCTCCCTCTTGGTACATCGTCTCTTTGCATATCTGTATCTGTATCTGTGTCCAAATTTCCCTCTTTAAAAAATTATTTTGTTTATTTATTTATTTCTTGAGACAGAGTCTTGCTGTGTCACACAGGCTGGAGTGCAGTAGCATGATCTCGGCTCACTGCAACCTCCACCTCCTGGGTTCAAGCAATTCTTGTGCCTCAGCCTCCCAAGTACCCGAGATTACAGGCATCGGCCACCACGCCCGGCTAATTTTTGTATTTTTAGTAGAGATGGGTTTTTTCCATGTTGGCCAGGCTGGTCTCGAACTCTTGGCCTCAAGTGATCTGCCCGCCTCAGCCTCACAAAGTGCTGGGATTACAGGCATGAGCCACCATGCCCGGCCTATTTTTTTATTTTCCTTTTTTCTTCACCAAAAGTGGATACTTGAAAATTTTCCTTTTTTAAACTAGGGACGTTGCTCATATTGCTTTAGGGCCCATTGTAATTACGTCATCTTTTTTCTTCTTCTTCTTTTTTTTTTTTGAGACAGAGTTTCGCTCTGTCGCCCAGGCTGGAGTGTAGTGGCACGATCTCGGCTCTCTGCAACCTCTGCCTCCTGGGTTCAAGCAATTCTCCTGCCTCAGCCTCCCGAGTAGCTGGGAATACAGGCACCCGCCACCACGCCTGGCTAATTTTTGTATTTTTAGTAGAGATGGGGTTTTACCATGTTGGCCAGGCTGGTCTCGAACTCCTGATTCGTGATCCACCCGCCTCAGCCTCCCAAAGTGCTGGGATTACAGGCGTGAGCCACTGCACCCAGCCGATAAGTTGTTTATTTGACAATTATCAAAGACTATATTGTCACTTTCTGAAATGCTTGCCTGAAATCCAGTCTTTCTAAGCAGTCTATTTGCCCCTCATGCTCCAACCAATAGCTATGGGAAAGTTTTTCCTCTCTTAACCAAATGTGGGCTTGTTTATTGATTACTGTTTTTTGTTTGTTTGGTTGGTTTTGAGATGGAGTTTTGCTCTTGTTGCCCAGGCTGGAGTACAATGGCGCAATCTCGGCTCACTGAAACCTCTGCCTTCCAGGTTCAAGCGATTCTCCTGCCTCAGCCTCCTGAGTAGCTGGGATTGCAGGCATGTGCCACCATGCCTGGCTAATTTTGTATTTTCAGTAGAGATAGGGTTTCACCATGTTGGTCAGGCTGGTCTCAAACTCCCGACCTGAGGTGATCCACCCACCTCAGCCTCCCAAAGTGCTGGGATTACAGGCATGAGCCACTGTGCCCGGCCTATTGATTACTGTTTTATCGCTTGCTAACTGAAGTTGTCCTTTTCACCTTGACTGTGAATTTAAGAGCAGCCAAGTCAAATTTTATCTCCAAGTCTTGGACCCATATATCCAATCTAACTCCATCTAGAGGTGTCGCAGCCATTTCAAATCCAACATATTCAATATAAGTCCTCTCCTCTTCTCCCACAACCTAATCCTTTTCTGATGGTCTCCATGTTAATGAATGGCTCCATCATCCACCCAGTGGCTCAAGTTAGAGACTAGCATCATTATGTTTTTTCCTTCCTCATACATGTTACACCATCTCCTTGCCTCTAGCATCCAATCCTGTTCTAACTCATAAATGGCCTATTGCTGGGCACAGTCGCTCATGCCTGTAATCCCAGCACTTTCAGAGGCCGAGGCGTGCAGATCATGAGGTCAGGAGTTCGAGACCAGCCTGGCCAGCATGGTGAAACCCCCGTCTCTACTAAAAATACAAAAAATTAGCTGGGCATGGTGGTGGCTGAGGCAGGAGAATTGCTTGAACCTGGCAGGCAGAGGTTGCAGTGAGCAACCTCTTTTTTTGTTTTTGACTGTGCTTGTTCCCTAAGGAACAAAGCATTAAACAGGAAAAGAAATCACCCTGTGTTCCTAAAAGGAGATGGCAGAGTGGGGACAATGTGATGAGCCATGGGGCTTTCAGAGCCAGGAGCGCACCTATGACCTGGGGCACTGTTTCTCAGGGGAGCTGTTCTGCCCTTTGACAGTATCTGGAGACACTTCTGATTGTCACAACTTCAGGAGAGGAGGGTGCTACTGGCATCTGGTGGGCATCCAGCCAGGATGGTGCTAAGCACCCTGCCATGCCCTGGAGAACCGCCCATGGCAACAAGCAGCCTGTCCCAGGTGCCAACAGTGTGGAGGTTGGGGGACCCTGGCTTAGAGGAAAGAGGTGATAAACCCTTAGATCTTTGAAGGAGGCTTCCTAGGGAGGTTTACATGTTCTGGCAAGCTTCCTGGTTCCCGGGGCCACATCCTGGATCCTGAGATGCTCCCAGGCTTCACCCTCCTGGAATTTTGCTGTATCTGACACCACTGGCCACTCCCGCTTGCAGTTCTTCCTGTTGGCTTCCAGGTAGCCACCTCTGCTGGCTTCTTCCCAGCCCCCTCGCTCCACCTCTCTAGCTGCTTCTGATCTCCTGCACTCCCTGCCCCTGAAACCAACGGTCTCTGAGTATGTGTTGCCCTCTACACTCAAAAAGAGTCCAGGCCAGGCATGGTGGCTCATGCCTGTGATCTCAGCACTTTGGGAGGCCGAAGTGGGAGGGATCACTTGAAGCCAGGAGTTTGAGACCAGCCTGAGGAACATGGAGAAACCCTGTCTCTACAAAAAGCTGGGCATGGTGATGCGTGCCTGCAGTCTAGCTACTTGGGAGGCTGGGGTAGGAGGATGGCTTGAGCCCAGGAGTTTGAGGCTGCAGTGAGCTGTGATCACACACTGCTGCACTCAAGCCTGGGCAACAGAGCGAGACCCTGTCTCTTAAAAATAAAAATTGGGCTGGGGCAATGGTTCACACCTCTAATCCTAGCACTTTGGGAGGCCAAGGCTGGAAGATCACTTGAGCACAGGTGTTTGAGACCAGCCTGGACAAATAAGTGACACCCCCCCAACCCATCTCTATAAAAACTTTAAAAAAATTAGCCAGGTGAGGCCGGACACGGTGGCTCATGCCTGTAATCCCAGCACTTTGGGAGGCCAAGGCAGGTGGATCACGAGGTCAGGAGATCGAGACCATCTTGGCTAACATGGTGACACCCCATCTCTACTAAAAATACAAAAAGTTAGCCAGGGGTGGTGGTGGGCACCTGTAGTCCCAGGTACTCAGGAGCCTGAGGCAGGAGAATGGTGTGAACCTGGGAGGCGGAGCCTGCAGTGAGTCGAGATCACACCACTGCACTCTAGCCTGGGCGACTGAGCAAGACTCCATCTCAAAAAAAAAAAAAAAAAAAAAAAATTAGCCATGTGTGGTGGTCCCAGCTACTTGGGAGGCTGAGATGGAAGTATGGCTTGAGCCTGGGACAGTCATGATCACACCACTGCACTCCAGCCTGGGCAATAGAGCAAGACCCCGTCTCCAAAAAACAAAAATTCCATAACCATATCCTCATTTTGTTTCCATATATGTGTAGATACACTGCACACTACTGCACCACACACAAAATAGAAGGAATGTGATGGAAAGTGGGAGCAGAACTGGCTACATCTGCCTCGCTCGTCCCCTTGAAGGCCACCTCATTAGAACGTGAGGTCCTGTCCTCAGCCAATGTTGGCCCTGAAGCCATCTCCAGCCCCTCCTGAGCGCTCCCCTCCTCCTTTCCTGTTCAGCTGCTGGCACCCGACCCCTTATCACCTAGGACCAGCCTAGATTCCCCACAGCCAAGCAGGCGCAAATGCAGCCACCGTTGCCGCTGACAGTTCTGGAATCTGTCACCTCCTTGTCAGCGCTGTGGGTTCTGGTTTAGGCCTTTGTCATTTCATGTCTGAGCCGCTGGAATAACCTCCTAGTCTCCCCCTCTCCAGGGGAGTGGGGATCTATTTTAAGACTCAAATGTGACCTTGTACTTCAGCCGTTCGACGTGAGACAGGGCAGTCCCTTGGCCTCACCTTCCACCTCGGACACCTGTGCCGAGCCCGTGGCACGTGTCCCCGTACCTAAACTCACGGCAGGATGAGCGCCATGGCAGTGGGAACAGGCTGTGCAGAGGCCCCGGGGAGGGAGTGAGCTGAGTCAGGGGGCTGAGTAAAGACAGGTTCTTGACCCCACGAGGCTCCGTGAGTGACTCTGGGTGGGATGGAGGCTTTAGCAGGGGAGAGATGGGACCTACTTGGAGCGAAGGCCACTCTGGTTGCCGTGGCCATGAGGACAAGCAGGGGACCGTGGGAGGCTGCTGCTGTGGTCCAGTTGAGACAAGACTTGGGTGGCGGAGAGGCAGTGGACAGGGCAGAGCCGTGAAGTCACCCTCCCAGTACATGAGAGGAGATGTCCAAGCCCAGTCCCTGGTACCACTCCAGCCAGGGGCAGCAAGGAGAGCAGAGTGGAGGGGCACAGGACGACAGTGGGGCATGGGGAGGCCAGCCTCTGCTGCGAGAGCCCTGAGGTAGGGACGATGGTGCCTCTGACCTTCCCTGCCCCTCCAAGCCCTCTGTCCTGCTGGAAGGAGAGGCCAGGAGGAGACCCAGGTGCAAGGCGCAGGGACAGGACTGGGGGATGGTTGGGGACCTGGCCCAGGGTTGGGGGCACACCTTCAGAATCACCCCTGACCCATGAGAGGGCTGCTGACCCCCACCCCTACCCCACGACTGCCCTCAGCAGGAGAGTCCGTTTCTCTCCCAAAGAACAGGGCACAGTCACTTCCTGATGCTAAAACACTCAGCATTTCCCTAGAAACAAAGGCAGCCATGCAAACCCGGAGCAAACAGGTTGCGTGTAATTGCCCATCGTGCTTCAGTGGGCTGCGGTCCAGCTTCTAGAGGCCTGAGTGTGAGGTGTGTGCACATCTGGGGCAGGCACATGGTGCCCGGGCAGAGGAGAGGGCAGGCTGCACCTAACTTCATCTTTCCCCGCAGGACCTGGCCTGGGCCATCAGCTACTACATCCGGTTCTTCGTCACCTACATCCCTTTCTACGGCATCCTGGGAGCCCTCCTTTTCCTCAACTTCATCAGGTGCCTGGGCTTTGCTGGTTCATCCCTGGGCCCTCCACTGGCACCGATGAGGGCTTTGGCATGAGAAGAGGCTTGGACGGCTCCACTTTGCCCAGGGACCTCCCATCCTGGCCCCTTGGCAGGGGCTGTCCTGGGCTGTTGGGAGAGTGCATCTGTTCCCACCATGACCGGGCCCCCCGAGGCCCCTGCGCTGAGCTGTGTTCTCTTGCAGGTTCCTGGAGAGCCACTGGTTCGTGTGGGTCACACAGATGAATCACATCGTCATGGAGATTGACCAGGAGGCCTACCGCGACTGGTTCAGTAGCCAGGTAGGGAAGGCAGGGCCAGTCACCAGAGCTGTGCAGAGCCTGGTCCCGGTGTCCATGTCCTGGCCCCAGATGCTCTGCATCTGTCGATCCAGGGCTGTGCTGGGCCTCCCGGGGCTGCCTGTGTCCTTCTGCTGGGAGCTTCAGGGCTAAGCAAGAAAGGGTGGCAGGAGTCCCCCGGAGGGACAGGTGGGGCACCTGGATGGGCTGAGGCCATCAGGCAGGACGGTATGATGTGGAGGGGTGACCTGGAGACCCTGGGTAAGGCTGGGCCCCCTGGGAATGAGGCCGGGCCCTTAGGCCTTCCTTTGTTCCCTGACACGCATCTCCTCCACTGACAGCTGACAGCCACCTGCAACGTGGAGCAGTCCTTCTTCAACGACTGGTTCAGTGGACACCTTAACTTCCAGATTGAGCACCAGTGAGCGCGGGGCTGCGGGGAGGCGGGGAGACCCACAGCGGGAGGGAAGCGGCCGCTACCCCGTCTGGGCAGAGCGCAGAATGTGGGGGCCACCTCTTTGTCTCTGTGACAAGGTCTCTGCCCAATCTAGAGCGAGGCTCCCAGCCAGCCCCGCTGAGGTCAGGAGAGGGGCTCCCCTGTGCCATCTCCGGGAGGGGCGTCCTGTGCCCCTTGTCCTGTGCCACTTGGTCATAGTGATAACCACCTCCCTCTACGTGGGCCTGGGATTTTGTAGTTATGGAGCCTGCACATGCACCTTATGACCCTGTGAGGCTAGCAAAGCAGGGCTTGCCTGGAACATTGGCCGAGGGACTGCCCTGCTGCCCCTTGTCCTTGCCTCACCTCTTGTCACTCATTTTTTTTTTTTTATTAAAAAATAAAAAATTTAGAGACAGGGTCTCACCCTGTTTCCTGGGCTGGAGTGCAGTGGTGCTTTCTTAGCTCACTGCAGCCTGGAATGCCTGAGTTAAAGCCATCCTCCCACCTCAGCCTCCTGAGTAGCTGGGACTACAGGTGCATGCCACCATGTCCAGCTGGTTTTTTATTTTTTTACTTTTATTTATTTATTTTGAGACAGAGTCTCGCTCTGTTGCCCAGACCGGAGTGCTGTGGCGCCATCTCGGCTCACTGCATGTTCCACCTACCGGGTTCAAGCAATTCTCATGCCTCAGCCTCCCACATAGCTGGGATTACAGGTATGTGCCACCACGCCCAGCTAATTTTTGTATTTTTAATGGAGATGGGGTTTCACCATGTTGGCCAGATTGGTCTCAAACTCCTGGCCTCAAGTGATCCACCCGCCTCGGCCTCCCAAAGTGCTGGGATTACAGGTGTGAGCCACTGTGCCCGGCCTAATTTTTTATTTTTATTTTTTGTAGAGGAAGGGTCTTGCCATGTTGCCCAGGCTGATCTCAAAACTTCTGACCTCAAGTGATCTGCCCGCCTCGGCCTCCCAAAATGCTGGGATTACAGGCATGAGCCACCGTGCCCCACCTCACTGCCTCTTTTTCTAGCATCCTCCAGCTATTTCATTTCTTTTTTGAAAAACATGACACTTTGTCTCTGGCTACCCAGTATCTTCCCAGCTCTGTAAAGCACAAATGCCCTCCTGCTCACGGAGGGCTGCACCCTCTCCTCCACACACATGGCACCCCACTGGGCACACACGAGGAGCCACACTTTGAGCCTGGTCCTGGCTGTGGACAGGGTTTCCGAGGGCCCCAGCCAGCCTCTGCGCGGGTGGTGGGAGGAGGCGGGAGCAGCCTGGCCCTCTGGAGTCCTCACGTTCTGCCCACCCCACATGCTCCTCAGCCTCTTCCCCACCATGCCCCGGCACAACTTACACAAGATCGCCCCGCTGGTGAAGTCTCTATGTGCCAAGCATGGCATTGAATACCAGGAGAAGCCGCTACTGAGGGCCCTGCTGGACATCATCAGGTGAGGGGTGGAGGTCCACAGGGGCTGGGCCCTGGGATCACCCTGTGGACCTCCACCTTAATGATGGCCTCCTCAGCCCCTGCACTCCCTGGGGCTGGACCCGTCCTGGTCCCTGACCCTCGTCCATCCCCAACTTCGCAGGTCCCTGAGGAAGTCTGGGAAGCTGTGGCTGGATGCCTACCTTCACAAATGAAGCCACAGCCCCGGACACCGTGGGGAAGGGGCGCAGGTGGGGTGATGGCCAGAGGAATGGTGGGCTTCTGTTCTGAGGGGTGTCTGAGAGGCTGGTGTACGCACCACTCACGTACTCCGTGTTGGATCTTTCTCCCTTTCTCCTCTCCTTTTTCCCTTCACGTCTCCCGCATAGCACCCTGCCCTCATGGGGCCTGCCCTCCTTCAGCCGTCAGCCATGACCCTCCCAGGGCCTCCCAGCCCCTTCTTCCAAGGAGCAGAGATTGGTGGCCACGGCGGGTGGCTCTGTCCTACCTCCACTCTCTGCCCCTAAAGGTGGGAGGAGACCAGCGGTCCCTGGGTCTGGCCTGTGAGCCTCCCCTTGCAGCCTGGTCACTAGGCCTCACCCCTGCTTCAGTTCTTCAGATGCTCTTGGGGTTTCTGGGGGCAGGTCCTAGTCGGGCAGGGCCCATGACCCTCTGGGTCTGGCTTCACTCTCCCTGACGGCCGCCATTGGTCCACCCTTCGTAGAGAGGCCTGCTTTGTTACAAAGCTCGGGTCTCCCTCCCGCAGCCGGGATCAGTACCCCGGGCCTCTCTTAAGATGGCCAGGGCCCCGGGCCTGCGGGCACAGCCAGCCCAAACCTCAGGCCCTGGAAGAGTCCTCCACCCCATCACTAGAGTGCTCTGACCCTGGGCTTTCACGGGCCCCATTCCACCGCCTCCCCAACTTGAGCCTGTGACCTTGGGACCAAAGGGGAGTCCCTTGTCTCTTGTGGCTCAGCAGAGGCAGTGGCCAGGTTCAGGGAGGCGCCAGCTGGCCTGGAGGCTCAGCCCCACCCGCAGCTTGTCCTCAGGTTGTCCTGAGGTCCAAGATTCTGGAGCAATCCGACCCTTCTCCAAATGCTCCGTTACCAGCTGGGCAGTGCCAGCCAATCCCTGGCCATTTGGCCCCAGGGGATGTGGGCCCTGCAGGCTGCAGGAGGGCACTGGAGCTGGGAGGTCTCGTTGCAGCCCTCCCCATCTTGGGGCTGCTGTGTGGACGGCGCTGCCTCAGGCACTCTCCTGCCTGTACCTGCCCTCACTGTGTTTAACCTTTTGCTCCAGGATGCGTTCTGATAGGAGTGGGCAGCAGGGCTGGGCCTTGTGACAATCTGCCTTTCACCACATGGCCTTGGCTCTGTGGCCCTGACTGTCAGGGAGGGCCAGGGAGGCAGAGCAGGAGGGAGTGTCAGCAGGAGGCTGCCCTGAGGGGCTGGGGAGGGGGTTACCTCTTGAGGACCAGGGTGGAGCTGAGAAGAGGAGGAGGTGGGGGCTGGAAGTGTTGGTAGCTGAGCGGAGGGGCAAGTGAGAGGGGAGGGAGGGAAGTCCTGGGGGGATCCTGAGCTGCTGTTGCAGAGTCTAACCCACTAATCAGTTCTTAGATTCAGGGGAGGGGTGGGCACCAACAACTCAGAATGGGGGCCTTTGGGGAGGGCGCCTAGTTCTCCCAGCTCTAACCAGCCAGGAGGGACCTGCATCTAAGCGTCTGGGTTGCCATGGCAATGGCATGCCCCCAGCTACTGTGTGCCCCCGACCCCCGCAGAGGCAGAATGAACCCACAGGGAGCTGATTGTAATGTTTATCATGTTGCTTCCCCACCCCTAAATTTTTTGAAATAAAATAAGTAATTTTATTCTCACTTCCTGTGTTTCCTGCACGCAAATGCCAGGCCATGGTATTGGGTGATAGAGGAGGCCCTCCTAGCTGGGCCTGGGCACCAGGAGGGGTCCCCACACTTGTATTTCTCTGTATCCCCTCCCTCCCTGGTGGCCATCCCACCCGCCTCTCCCTGCTGCCTCTGAGGTTCATTCTGGGGCCCAGAACTTGGTAGAAATGACCCAAAACCATTGGCCTGTCCTCCTCCTCTCAGCAGCCGACCCCAACCCAATTCTAGAACCGGGCTGGGAGCCACCTCTCAGCAACTAACCCTACCCGAGGAGGGTGGCATGGAGGGGTTCGCAGAGACCCTTCCTAACATCCTCACTCCCCAGACGTCTCCCCAAGTGCAGTCTGCCCTCCCAGCCCTGGGCCAGCCGGCTTCCACAGAGTGCCAGGCCAAACACAATTCCTGGCCTCCTTGGAAGGCGCTGAAGAAGGCTGGGCGCGGTGGCTCAGGCCTGTAATCCCAGCACTTTGGGAGGCCGAGGCGGGCAGATCACGAGGTCAAGAGATCGAGACCATCCTGGCCAACATGGTGAAACGCCGTCTCTACTAAAAATACGAAAATTAGCTGGGCGTGGTGGTGCGTGACTGTAGTCCCAGCTACTTGGGAGGCTGAGACAGGAGAATCGCTTGAACCCGGGAGGCAGAGGTTGCAGTAAGCTGAGATGGTGCCACTGCACTCCAGCCTAGCGACAAAGCGAGACTCCATCTCAAAAATAAATAAATAAATAAAATTTAAAAGGGGCTGAAGAAGGCTCTGGAGGCTGATGATTCTGTCTTATGGCTCCCGTGCCCCTATATGCAGTGGCCCATTCAGAACCCACAGGCTGTGGGGAGGCTGATATCATCCTAGCCCAGGGTCACCAGTTCATGGGCACAGAGATTGGGTCCTAGGTCTGTCTGACCCCAGAGCTTGGGAAGAGTCCAAAGTAACATGCCAGGGGTACTTGTACAGTCGGTCTCCCACGGACCCCCATGCTGCTCCGTTGTCGTCTCTGGGATGGCTCTCCTGGCAGGGCTGAGCCTGGGAAGGTGTGCTAAGGAAGGGCCAAGAGGCACTGGCTAGTCAACACCTCGGGGCCTCCCCTTGGCTTTGTAGCTACTCCCAGCAGGGCTGGGGAGGGCTCCTGAGTAGACCTCAGCCCCCGCCTGCTCCCCCAACCCCTGCTTTGCCTGGCCGAAACCCAGCCGGGTAGGGACAGCCAGCAGACTGGGTTGCGGTATGTATGGCTCCCCAGTGGCCATAGGGTGTCCTGAGTAGGGCCTGGCATTACAGTGGTTCTGGGGAGTCCTTTGCCCTCCCTGGCCCTGTGGGCCACAGTCCACAGGGGCAAGCTAGAGGGGCCCCAAGGATGCCATTTTCTCAATACCCACCTACCCTAGGCCTTTCACTCTGGTGGACCCACTGACGGTGGCCTTCAAGGTTGCAAGACCCTGGCAAGCACGCCTCCCACCCTCTGCCATGTGCCTGTGACCCGCCTCCAGGATGGCGACCAGCCCAGGCCTCCCAACCCTGCCAGTCGGAAATCTATGGGTCCTTCACCCATAACAACCAGGGGGCTTGGAGTTGGGGATACTGAAGGCCAGATGGACGCTGGGGCTATGAGGACACCAGGTAAAACTTGACCCAGTCTCACCGGGCACTTGGAGCTTCTCTGTGACTTCCCCAGCCCCACCTTGCCCTTGAATACTTCCCTGGGTCAAGAAGCTGAGAACATTCATATCTTCTCTCTGCTTAACCGCCCCCTCCTGTCCCTGTACTCAGCTGACCCCCTTGCTAACACACCCAGAACTGTGAGTTTCTAATCCCTGTCCCCTGCCAAAGTCATGGTGCCCCAATATTCAAGGCCCTGGGTGATCAAACCCCAACACCTCCATCACAGGCGAAGAGGCTGAGCCCAGAGAGAGGACAGCACTGGTCTGAGGCCACACAGCAGCAGGATCCTGCTCCTAACCCGCAGGCCCCTGGCCACCTCTCCTGCACAGAAAGGGCTGTTCCCAGACCCTACCCCCATCATATCAAATGTCAGACAGCTCCCAGGAGGCCCAGCGGCTGGCTGGAGGGGTGGGGGCAGTGGAGGGCAGTTAGTCTCTGTGGAGGAGATAAGAGCGGGGTAGCTACACAGATAAAAGGGTATCAGCTTTGTGGGTGGTGGGGGCATCTGCAGCACCCCAAGCCTAGGCTGTGTGTGTGTGGGCACGGGGGGTGGTGCTGTGGCACCACAGGCGGATCCTTGGGGTGTCTGGCTGGACACTCTGAAGCCCTCTGTGCCTACTGGGAGGGGAGAGGAAGCGTTTACCCACCTGGGGCTGGGCTTGGGCTGCCATCAGGAGCGGCTGGTCATTGCTTGTGTGACACAGTGCCTTGGGCCCATTGGGACTCCTCAGCTGGCCTGGCTGCACCCTCCCCTGAGGTGTGCCCCTCTGGACAAGAAGCTGCCTCTCAAAGAGTCCCTGTTCCAACATCTGAGAGGGAAATGGGGTGCCGTGGGGGCTGCCTGCCCCAGGCTGAAACGCCACTGCCCTTGGGACTGGTTTTCCTTTTCTGAACCAGACTGGCTTCATGTGGCCAGTGCACATCCAGAACAAGCAGCCACCCACCGTGCTGAGATTTCAGGATCACGTCCCCATCGTCCTCCACCATCACACTTTGCTTTGGATTTTAAGGGCGTTCAGGTCTTTCTTCTCCATTGTCCCATTCAAGAGCAAGTGTCCAAGAGAAAGAGTGACAGCAGCCAAGAGCTTGGAATAGGCCAAGCTCCCAGTACTCGTGGTGGCTCACTGCCTGAGGACATAGTGCGGTGGGGGGAGGAACCTTGAGAAGCCCACGGCCTGTCCTGTCACAAAGGAGTTTGTTGACCCCCTGCCCGCCACCAGCTACTCCCAACATGCCAGGCAGGGGCTGGCTCTTGGGCATCATCATTTCCAACATCTGCCTGGGCTGGGAGACCCGAAGAAATGTTAATGATCAAAGGAACAAACCAACGCTGCAGTTACAGCTTCCCTCCGGAGCTGTTTTTCCTCTGGGCCCATGCCTCTTGTACAGACAATAAAAAAGGAACACGGTCTCAGAGGCTCAGAGGTTCCACCAAAGCCTCTTTCCTTTTACAAACCTGGCCCCAGTGCACTAAGCCTTTGTTCTGAGTCTAAGAGACCTACAGATGGAGAAGGGGGACTTCAACTCAGGACTGAGGGTGACCTTTTCCCAGGGGATCTAGCATGGGGGCCAGTGGGGCAAGAGCAAAGATTCCCCTGCCAGTGATGGATCCCAGGCAGTCCAGAGAAACCTAGGCGTGGCTGCTGAGGGCGGGGCCTCCCAGGGGTTCGCGAAGCAAGTTACCAGGGGCAGCAGGGAGCACGGCCAGCCCCACACTGGCGCAGATGCTCCGGGCGCCCGTGGGTGGCGCTGCAGGCTCGGCTGTTGTGGGTCCTCGGTGTTAGCATCTCCCTGGAGAGTGCCTCGGAGCCAGCGCACAGCGATCTCTACCAGGGTGTGGACGGAGGGAATGCCATTCGGAGCCTGCCCTGGCTCAGGGCACCCGCGTGGCACCAGGAGCCAACGGGATTTAAACAGGCAGTGACAGGAAGGGGGAGTCCCCGCAGAGGGAACAGCCTGTGCAGAGACCCTGAATGCAAGGCGCGCCCTGGGTATGAGAAGTGTGTGTGTCTGAGGCAGGAAGTACCTTTCAAGGAGCATCCAGTCTTACCCTTGGTTGAAAACTGAGGCTCAGGGAAGGCAAAGAACTTGTCCCAGGTGACAGAGCAAATGGTCACCTTGGGGAATTGGGTTGTGTGCACGAAATTTGTGAATAAACTTCTGAGCCTGCTGCTGTGCCCTTTGGTAAGAGCCTTTCTTCCACCACCCTAGGTACTACTGCTCAGAGGGGTCAAGGAACTCCCCCAAGGTCACACAGCCTGCGTCCTGGCAGACAGGACTTGCCCCGACTCCACCCCAGCCCCAAGTCTGTCTGACTTGAGTGAATCAGGGCGGGGCCGGGTGGCACCCGGAGGAGGGCAGGTATCGCACAACCAAGCTGAAGGGGCTGCCACCCTCTGCTTCCCTGGCCCTACCAGGAGGCCTCTGCTGACACTGTCCTGGGCTGGGGGCCATAGGGAGCTTTGGGCTGTCTGCTCCTGGGCCTGGGAGATAATGTGAGCTGAGGAGGACCTCCCCCAGTCCCCAGTGCTCTCCTGCCCCAGGAGTCAGGGTGAGGGAAACAGGACCCAAACACCCTGTCTGTCTGTCTGTCTGTCTGTCTGTCTGTCATCCTCTCAGAAAACACACACCAAGGTCTCCTGGGCCAGGCTGTGGGCTGCCACCAGCCTCTAGCAGCAAATGAGGTCAGTATTCCAGGTGCTGTCACGGAGACCCCAGCCACAGGCTGGGCAGGGAAGGGGAGGAGCCCTGCGGGTCAGAGAGAACTTTCTAGAAGGGGAGCCTCTGGGAAGAGCCGCAAGAGCCCATGGGAACGTGTGACGGCCCCTCCCCGCAGAGAGGAAGCAGGTGCAAGACTACAGTGATCAGCCTTAGCACTGAGGAGCTTTCTGGCTGTCTTGGAAGAGAAGTTCATAGGCAGCAACGCTCAGAGCCACCTTGTGTGTGTGTGGAGTGGGGAGCGGGTTGATGGGGCAGCAGGGCTTCCCCTCCAGCTCTGTCCCACAGAGGATGGGCCTGGGAGGGGTTGAAGAAAAATTGGCAGAATTTGCACCTTTTCCACCTCCCAAAGAGAACCCAGTCCAGGCCAATGGAAGCCCAAAGAGTGTGGGGCAACCCCTGCAGCTGGTAGGGCGACCCCGGCTCCCACTCCAGAAAGGCCTCACGGAAATCCTCGCTCAAAACTTTCTTTCTCCAGCTGCCGACATTTCAGATGAAACCCTCAGCTCAGCTTGGAGCTGTCAGGCTGTGTGGGTGCTGGGGACTGAGAGGTCCAGCCAGATCTGCTTCTCAATTCTGGGCGCCACAAGAAGCAACTCAAAGCCCTCCCCAGAACTGTCCAAAACCCACAGGCACAGTCCAGCCCATTGCCAGACGAGGAGCCTAAGACCTGACTCCAGGGACTCAGGGACAGGAATGGCCATGCCTCAGGGGTCCAGCTTATTCACTGCAGTAACTACAGGCAAGCACCTGGTCCCAGGTGGGCTTGAGGGAGATCGACGTTGCCTCCTTGGGCCACTGGGCACAGGCTGCACCACCACCACTGGTGTGATGCCAGGTGTGGTGCTGAGATCAGCAGGTGGCCCGCTGCATGGGGCCCTTTGAGGCCCCCCATCATGGAGGGCTGTGGGAGGCCAGTGCAGGTCCAGAGGCACAACCATCTTCCCCAGTCCATGTCCAGAGGCGTCTGCAGACATGGCCCCCAGCCCTGGGTCCTCATCTGCTGGGCCTGCTCATCCCATCATGCAGAGGGGTCAAGTGACTTGTAAGCCCAGCATGAACAGGAAGTGAATAGGCCCTCGGGCAGGTCTGAGTCCAGGCAGCCATGAGCTCCCAGGCCCAGAGCATCTAGAGCTGAAGGGAGCTCCTTAGCGCTCCCCCTCACCCCGCCGCCAGCCCAACACACACAGTGATGGCCGAGGGCCTGAATGCTGCAGGGGAGTCTGGGCAGACCCCAGCTTCAAAACTCATGCAAATTCACCACTCCACTCCATAATACATCTGAATGCATTTTAATATAAAAATAACAGCTTTCCCCCAATTCTTGCTCTAGGAAAATGTGCTACGCTCACCTTCCCTCTACCCCTGTCCCATCAGGCTCAGAGCCAAGGCCGTAGGGCTGCTGAATACACATGTGAGGGGGCTGAGGGGAAGATCACAGTACCAGGAGGGCAGGCAGGGCACTGCCAGGCTGGCCAGTGGAGGGGTGGGGGTGTCGGTCCCACCAGGGGCTGGCTTGGTTGCTGGTGCCCTGAGCCCTTCTCTGCCCGCCTGGGTGTTGCCTTCACTGATGGAGGTAGGCATCCAGCCAGATGTCACCAGACTTCTTCAGGGATCTGGGAGGTGGGGGTGGCAGTGGCGGTGGGTGTTCGGATCTCAGTTGCAAGATCCTAACACCCCTGTATCCCCCATGATAAGTGTGAGCGGAGATATCCCCACTCCCTGTGGGTTCCCTTCCCTGGGGGCAGGCAGTGATGTGGGCCCGGAGGGTGGGTTGGGAGAACAGCTGAATGCTCATTCTCTGGAATGGAATCTAGACTGGGGTGAGGGGTGTGGGGTAGGGGAGCTGGAGGGCAGCCAAGGCCAAGTCCAGGCATGGGCCTGGGTGGGCCTGTCCCTCCTGCATCGAGTTCTCCATTGCCTCCTCCTGCTGGGCACTGCAACCCAGGGACAGAGAGGATGTGGAACCTGCTCACCCCATCTTGGGCCTGATATTAGGCGGTGGAGCCAGAAATGTCAACAACCTGCTAGGAAGCCCTGTGCCAGGCGCTCTAAAGGGCTGTGCCAAATGGCAGGGGCTCACAGCATCAGGCTGGGAGGGATCATGAAGGAGAAGTGGGCGTCTGAATCCCAGCATAGGAAGGAAGGGCACCCAAGTAAGGGGAACAGCGTGTGCAAAGACCTGGAATCTGGCCTCTGTTCCCCACCTCCAAGGTGACCGCAAGGGCTGAGCCCCATCACCCCTCGCCTGCATGGCTGCAGTGTCCTTTGCTCTACTTTTCCACTTCGACTCCCGCCCATCAGTCATTCCCAGTAGGGGCAGCTTTCCAAGATGCAAGCCGGGCGTGTCCCTTCCCTGAGCGCCTGCATGCCCGCCTCGGTTATCCATGCCATGAGCTTGGCATTCGGGGCCAAGCGCTTTCTGCTTTCTGCCTAAACGTCCCTCGTCGAGGCCTCTCCCCTCCTCCCTGTCCCTGCTCACAGGTCAGCCTGTCAATACCGCCCACCCTACCACATTATTAAAAACGGCAGCCCCTGCCTGGCCGCCCCCTCCCCTCCCCTGTCTCCACCCTGAGGGGCTCTTCATTGTTCTTTTGCCCATCTCCTGTAATGTACTTATTTGTTATTTTAACTGCTTGCCTTTTCCTCTGCTAGAAGGAACATCAGCTCCAAGAGGGCAGGAAGCTCCCTGGAGCCTGTTTTGCTCCGATTGTAGGAAAACAGCCTGTCGAATGGCAAGGGCAATGCCATCTTCAAGCAAATCTGATAACCGATGCTTGACCCAGAATGCCAAGCTCATGGCATAGATAACCTCCTCCTGTAGACGCTTGTCTCCAGTGATCACCAGGTTCATAAGAACCACCTGCATGGGGCTCACCCTAAAAGCTTGCTATACAGAGGGTTCTTTTTGGAGGGCATGTGAGGGGAGGTACCAACTCTTGGCTGCTTGAGATACGGTTTTTTGTTTGTTTTTGACAGAGTCTTGCTCTGTTGCCCAGGCTGGAGGGCAGTGGCGTAATCTCAGTTCATTACAACCTCCGCCTTGTGGTTTCAAATGATTCTCCTCCCTCAGCCTCCCAAGTAGCTGGGATTAAAGGTGCCCGCCACCACACCCAGCTAATTTTTGTATTTTTTTTAGTAGAGACGGGGTTTCACCACGTTGGCCAGGCTGGTCTCAAACTCCTGACCTCAAGTGATCCGCCCACCTCAGCCTCCCCAAGTACTGGAATTACAGGCATGAGCCACCGCGCCCGGCCCTGAGACATGGCTTCTGTTTATAAGTCCCTATTAAGTGTTTCTTTCTGAGAAACTGGATCTGTTAGCTTCTTTCCCTCAGCCTTTGGAGGCAGGTTTGCAGAGACCTGCTCACCGTAGGCACTGCTGTGTTTGTGAGTCTGCAGCAGGTGTTCCAGAAATTCTCGCTGTGTGCATGAAGGCTGGGGAAGGGAGGAAGGGCATGGGACACGGACAGAAAGGCTCAGGGGCCCCGGGGGCTCAGCAGGAAGCAGGGCAGGCATAGGCCCTGGGGAAGCCACCAGAGCAGAGGGGCCAGGCTGCGGCCTCACCTGACGATGTCCACCAGCGCAGTGAGGAAGGGCTTCACTTCGTAGCTGAGGCCGTGCTTGGCACACAGTGACTTGACCAGTGGGGCCACCCGGCTGTAGTTGTGTCTCGGCATCCTGGGGAAGAGGCTGGGGGTGGGGAGCGTGTGCTGGCACCTGAAGTGGGAGGCTTCCAGAGACAGGCCCCACCCACGGGTCCCCTCCCAGGACCCCTCCCAGGACCCACTCCCCACCTCCCACTGGCCCCCAGCACCCACACTCACTGGTGCTCGATCTGGAAGTTGAGGTGCCCGCTGAACCAGTTGGTGAAAAGTGAGGGCTCCACGTTGCAGGTGGCTGCCAGCTGCCGGAAGCCGGCGGGGCACAGGTGAGAAAGCCGCTGCAGATCCCTGACCCCGCCATCCTCCACCTGGCGGCCCCGTCAGGGCCTCATCCCTCCTTTGCCAGTTGGCTCCTAGCAGGGATCCTCCACCCCACCCAGGACGGGCCTCACCCAGCCCCACCCCTGCTGCCCACCTGAGAGCTGGCCCAGTCCCGGTGCTTCTCATGGCCGATCTCCTTGGGGATGTGGTTCATCTGTGTGATCCACACGAACCAGTGGCTCTCCAGGACCCTGTGGGGAGGCTCGGGCACTGCCCTAGGTCCAGCTCACCACTTAGGCACCCTGAGTGGAGGCTGGAGGGCAGCTGTCTCCAAGTGGCCTCGACTTCCTTATCTATACAATAGGAGTGTGGTCACCGCCCCCTTGCCAGTGTTTAAAGAATCTGAATGGAGCAGTGTCCACTGTGAGGCTGAGCCCAGAGCAGCTCTGACCCCCACGGGGCCACTTACAAGCCAGGCCACGCTCCCTAAACCCACTGACCCTGGGCTCCTGTCACGCTTGTGTTCA